GTGTCAAAAGTGTTGCATGTCACCTAGTCATGTCTAGCTACATTCTAGAAATCAAAATGAGATTTGTGTGATATCTCCAGCAAGCAAAAAAGTATATATCAATAATACCCAGCTTGAAAATCAAATCACGAAATTTCTTGGGATTGAGTGTCTTGGTATATATGTATTGGCATGAAGAAAAAACAGGAAGCAATTTTAATAAACCTTGTTTGAGCTTTCTCCCTTACAATATGATAATCAAGCTTAATGTGCTTGGTGCGCTCATGAAAAATCGGATTAGAGGCAATATGCAGGGTAGATTGGTTATCACAGTATAAAAGAGTTAGAAACAATGTTTTGTTTCTTGGATTTCCATGAAACAAGGAAAAAACCAATGTAGACATTATAACCAGTAATGAACCTCCTTGTTTCAGGACAGGTGACCCAATCATTATATGCCTTAAATTGGATAGTAGAGTCAGCTGGGAAAAATAATCCAAGTCCAGGGGCTCCTTTGACGTAACGAAGTACTCTTAAGGCTATTACATAATGCATATATGTAGGCTTAGAAAGAAATTAAGCCAAATGATGTACGGAGAAAGTAATATCAACTCGTGTGTTGGTTAGATACATTAATCTACCTATAAGATGTCTGTAAGCAGTGACATCAGAAATGACAACTCCTGTATCAAGGGCAAGACGTTTTGCATTATCCATAGGAGTGGAAACAAATTTGCAACCTAAGCATCCAGCTTCAGCCAACAATTCCAATGCATACTTTCTTTGATTAATAGATATTCCTTGTTGATTTCTTGTTACTTCAAAGCCAAGAAAATACCTTAAGTTTCCCAAGTCTTTTATACGAAAAGAAACATCAAGAGCATGTTTGATTCTTGAAATTTCTTAGTGATCATTCCCAGCTAAGATGATATCATCCACATACATAAGGAGTGTTGTGAAAGAATTGTTTATAGACTTTATGAACAATGAGTAATCATGCACAAATTGAATGTATCTAGCAGTAAGGAGGAAAGAAGAGAGTTTAGAGAATCATTCTCTACTTGCTTGCTTGAGACCATATAAGGCCTTTTGAAGCTTACATACTTGACTTGACAAAACAGAATCAAGGCCTAAAGGAGTTGTCATGTATACTTCTTCACTTAGATCTCCATGTAAGAAGGCATTGTTGATGTCTAGCTGTTATAATTCCCTATTCAGTATTGAAGCAAGGGATAAAATCAATCTCACAATGGTTATCTTGATCACTGGTGAGAATGTGTCAAGATAATCAAATCTCTCAACTTGTGCATATCTCTTTGTAACCAATCTGGCTTTGTGTCTTTCAATGGTTCCATTTGCTCTGTACTTAATTTTGAAAACCCACTTGCATCCTATGAGATTCTTCCCCTCTGGAAAATCTATGACTGTCCATGTCTGTTTTTTCTTGAGAGCCAATAATTCAGCTTGGATAACATTCCTCCAACATTCATGGGTGATAGCTTGGTTGTAACTTGTTGACTCAATATTAGAGGACAAAGAAAAAACATAAGAAACATAAGTAGGTGACAAATTACTATAAGACAAAACAGATGAAATAGGATGAAGAGTTTCAGAAGAGGAATGAAATGCAGTGCTGACATTAGAATAATAATCTCTAAGATATCCAGGTGGCCTTCTATTTCTAACTTGAGGAGTAGGAATTGTGGTTTGGTGTGGTTATGTAGTTGTAGTATGGATTAGTTCATTTTCTTCTATTGGTTCAGCTGTATTCGAATGTTCTATTTCTGTATTAGTCAAATGAGTATCTATAGTTGCTTGAGGGATTAAGTCAAAAATGAAAGGGATGGTATTATCAGGTGAATCAAGACTACTGTCAATTATGTCATTACTGTTCTTATGATATGGAAATATGTGTTCATGAAAAACCACATTCCTAGATACAAACAACTCTCTAGTTTCAATATTTAAAAGGATATAACCTTTGGTTCCAGGTTTAAATCCCAGAAAAACACACCTCACAGCTCTTGGATCAAACTTTGTTCTATTTACAGGTAAAGTGCTTACATAACATAAAAAACCAAAGATATTTAACTGAATCAAATCAGGTTCTTCTTTATAAAGAATTTTGTGTGGAGAGAAGTTATCAAGAACAGGTGTATGCAATAAATTAATAATGTGAGCCGCATGTTAAACAACATAAGACCAATACATAGTAGGAAGTCTAGACTAAATTATCAGAGCTCTTGCTACATTCATCAAATGTTCATGCTTTCTTTCAACAATACTATTTTGTTGTGGTGTGTAAACACAAGATGTTTGATGGATTATATCTTTAGAAGCATAAAAATCTTTCATAGAAAATTATATCTCATTGTCTGTTCTGATTACTTTTATAGTTGTGTCAAATTGAGTTTTGATCAATTAAATAAAACTTTGTATGACTTAGATGTTTTGGATTTTTGTTTCAAAAGAGTAACCTAGGTATATCTAGAATGATTATCCACAATAGTAAAGAAATATTTGTGTCCATGGACGGATGGAATGGAGTAAGGTCCCCACAAATCAACATGTATGAGATCAAAACATTTATTTGAATGAGAATGACTAGTAGGAAAGGGAAGTTTTCTTTGCTTGGCCAAGTGACAAGTATCACAAACATAAAATCTATCATGATTAACATATGAAAAATTGTTTCTTATTACATCAATGCACCTATTTGAAGCATGACCTAAACGAAAGTACCATATATTTGTATCATTAACAGAAGACAAACTAACAGTAGTCACTATATGAGGAAAAGGCTTACTATATGACATAATTTGAACAGAAGTCACCCTTAGAATATAGAGACCATCATGCATATCAACTATACCAATCGTCTTTAACAAACTCTTGTTCTAAATTTTACACTGCTTAGAATCAAAGGTTAGAGTGCATGAAAGATTTGTGGTTAACTTAGCAATAGAAATCAAGTTAAAGTTGAAAGAAGGAATGTATAGCACATCATGAATAACATGATTTGGATCAAGAAACACATTGCCTGAATGATTAGCTATCACTTTGGTTTTATTTGGTAAGGTAACATAAATGGGTCGGATTTGATGAAAACTAGCAAAACAATTCAAAGAAAAACATATGTGGTCAGCAACACCACTGTCAAGAATCCAAGAATTAAGATTAGAATGAATTTTACCATTTTGAGAAGCATCATTAACGGATTTTGAGCTGGCAGAGACCTGATTTGAGACATGGCTGGAATTGGTGACTTGTGATTATTGTAGAAGTGCTATCAAGCCTTCATATTGCTCTTTTGAAAACCCAGATTGATGTAGTACCAGACTATCTTGTTTGAGAGCTGATATGGTGTCTTAAAGGTCAGTTATACGAAACATGTCTCCTTGAGAGAATCTTTCTTCAAGATCAAACCAGATATCTAAAACCGTGTCTCTCCACATGACACTTCTTGCTATGGAAGCTGAGAGAGATCGTATAAGCCACGAGACAATCATCATGTTGACCCTTTCCCAAGCAGGATATAGAGAGTCAGTCTTATTGGGAGGTGAAATACTGTCATTGATGAACTCAAGCTTGTTCTTGGAGACAAGACTCGTATGGAAGGAGCGTGACCATTGGTGATAATTTGGTTCATCTAACACAGTTGAGGCAAGCAAGAGAGATGAATTTTTCGATGGATGAAGATAGTATGGTGATGTGAGATTTTGAGAGGGATCAATCTCCATAGGAATGCAGCAACTAGAGCTCTGAAAGTTAGAGCTCTAATACCATATTGAAAAAATGAATCGAAGACAAAAATGAATATTTTCGCACACTTTTAAACTTATTACAAGGTGAGGTATTAATACACAAGGGTGAAATCCTTAAAAAATACAGAAAAGAGTGTCACGTATAGCAACAAAAAAGGCAAAACCAACGGCAAAACAGAAAATTAAAACAGATGAAAACTCATAAAATCTTTAAGAATGAAAAATTTGTTGAGATATAAAATGATGTATCAAAAGTGTTAGATGCCACCTGATCACGCCTAGCTGCATTCTAGAAACCAAAATAAGGTTTGTGTGATAATATATATTCTAGCAACCTATCAGGTTGCAAAACATCTATAACCTAATTCTAAAATTCAAGATCCTACAAACATTATTGACCTTCGGTGAAACATACAAAATATTGCCGTGACCGATTACACCCTTCAAATGTCAATGCAGAATAAGTATGTGTAGAAAATATCATATATTAACTAATTACAAAAACTGTACCTCTTGGTTATTAAAGTCACAATATCAATTAGTTGAGCCTCTACTCTCATTAAGGTTAGATGATATTATCTCACAAATGCTCGCCTAAGAAAGAAAATATATTGAAGTTGTTACTGAATTGTTGGAATGAATAATCACTCAATAATTAGGACGTGAACCAAACAGCCCCTCCTTAAATGAAGTTATAAATATATGAGAAAGTTAATTAGTTAAAACAATAGCATTCTCCACTAGTAGAGTTTTGAACAGAAGAGCTACCTAATTTTCATGCTCCTTCTAAAACTATAGAAGATGTTCATAAAAAATGAGATTAAATGATAAATAATTAATAAAAATCAACTTTTGAAAATTTTTAAGTAAAGGATATTAAATAAATAACAAATTTAAAAACATTTAAGTAAGCAGATATATTAGGCGTCAATAACCCTGCCTTGTAAGTAAGATACAATAAGATGGAATAATTATTATTATTTACAGAAAAACAAAACATAGAAAACCCCACGAGAAACAGAACAACGTAAATTGTGACAAGTGAAATTAAGATAGGACTGTAAAAGGCTGAAGTCTCATATTAACAACAGATGTGTTAAAAGGGGTGAGGAGGGGGACCAATGTCAAAATAAAGTGAAAATCTAGAAAAGTATCGATGCTTTTGTAGCATTATATAATTTTATCCATCCTAATGATAACTAATTATTTACGATAAGAAACAAAACTAATTATTTACAATAAGAAACAAAAGACACTTCAGTGAATATGTTCCCAAGCTCCATGCACGATCTTATCATTAATGAAGGGGCGTAAAGACCACATTTGGCAGTAGGTTTCTAATTCTTCTGATGACATCTTGAGATCTAAAGCAGACACAATCTTTTCCTGCAGCAATAGGCAAAGATTTTAAGGATTCTACATTTTATTGGCTGTAAGGTCACAACGGCATCATTCATTACCTGCATCAGATAGTCTTGCTTGACCATGCTATATATGAAAGTCATGACCATGGCTAAATGTGTCACATCGGTAATTTTCTTTTTCTTGGTAGAAGTGACATCAGGACTTTGAGAATGGGACAAAGCATCCTTTTCCTCCTGAGAAAAGGTGTAGTTTCCGTTCTAGTCAGCAAGAATTCCATGATTTCCATTATTCTATTTATATCATGTAAATAATTATTGAATTTAGTGGAGATGTACAACTTTCCAACCATGAAGAGAAAGAGGTCACTTTCTTTGAAAGAGTTGAGGATCAGATATGTGCAGAAAAGCGGATAGGGCGAAAGGATGAAAAAAAAAAAGCTCTATGTATCCAATAGCAGGATGTAGAGATACACGAGGCCAAAACCATAAAGGATATGATATAACAGAAGTTATATGCGATATAACAAAGATCTTAATATGAGACCGATATTTTACTATCAAGTTAAAAGATTTATTTTGGGGTTGCTCTTTCTTGAGGAAGGGAGGAGCAGGAGAAGAAACTCAATCAAAGGAACATAAGTAGAAAAAGTTAGCAATTACGGTAGAAAGTCTTTGAAAATAAACAATAATATTACCCAATCATCATAGGTTGCTTGTTCATTTAATTCAACCTCGAAATCCCGATCAGAGAGTGCTAATAATTTTCCATTTCTAGTCTGAATAGAACTTGTTACATCCCCCAATAGACCTTCAAGTTCATCAAGTATTTCCTTAGCTGCCAAACATACATGACAAGATAAATGTCAAACTAAGTACATGTTTTGGCAAGATTAATTTTTTGGAATTAAAAACTTATTTTCAAATTTTCTCTAAGAAACTAGTTAAAATAAGATTATTTTTAAAAATGAGCTGAAAGTATATACTAAAACAAAGAACACAAGATCACCACAATGATTATGACACAAAGTTTATATTCCACGAAATAATATACAACACACAAAGTCGATATGGACTTTTTTACATTAATGATGGCCAAACACAACTTTAGTATCTACCACAAAACATTTTCACATTGGAGCTGGAAGGAAGCCCATTACTGATTATGTAATGCATATTAGAAGGCAATATTGACAAAATGAAAAGAAGTTTCCTCCAAGTTGGAAATATGTTTTCGAAAATTCAGTTGCCATGTTCATCCAAACCACAATTATCAAACAAGGGCCATAGTGAATGCTGAAGACAGTTATGAATATTTAAATGGTTTAATAAGTGACAAATTTCTCTATCAATATTCAAAAGAGTAACTATAAATTCAACTTGATGATATGGTGTATATAGGCTTATCAAAGCATAGCAGTCAGGGATCAATCATTAAAAAATACGAGGCCATACCTTTGCTTATATGGTTACACAGTCCACGTGTGCATGAGTGAACTTCCATATGCAGATTTTGCAATATTGAAGCAGTTACATAGTCAGCAGCAGAAAAAAATAGCAATAAAATTAATAAGCAGAATTCAAACTGGGTATTGATAACAAAACATCATATAATGCTGCTTCAAGCAGATATCTTTTGGAACAAAGGACACATCTTAATTTCTGTGAGTTCAAACTCACTTTAGAAAAAAGAAAAGGAATAAAAGAATTAGAGGGAAGTTAAATGAGTGAGAAAAGGAGAAAAAATAAGTGTGAAAAAACAAAATTGCAAGCAATTATTGATAAGAGAACCACACCACAAAATGTGGGACTGAAGTCTCATGCCTTGGAATTGGATCCTAACAGCAGGTATATCAACCCAACTAAACTGACCTTGAAGACAAGCTTTGCTAAATTTCTGTCACAAGAATAAAAAGCAAGTAGGATGATTTATTCAGAACAAAACCCATGAATAAAAAAGAGTAACTTTCGTAAAACTGCAGGAGCAAGGTTTTGTGAGTAATTATGAAATAAATATAGCATTGAGAATTTAATAATAACTTAAAACTGCAATCAAAGGAAATCAATCAGTCATACTCCTGTTGAACAGACTAAACAAGGTTCATGCTAACAGTATCGGGTTAACTTTTAAAATATCAGATTCAATTAAAGAACAACATTCTCAATACATCATACTCAATTAAAAGGGTTAAAAAAATAAGAGTTGTACTTATGTGTCACTAAGCACTTGCTGAGTCTTGAGATATACCCCTACTATTGGAATGAGACAAACCCCATGCTTAAACCTTTAACCACCAATAAAAAATAAAAAGCAGTACTTACAGTTTGTGACACTCTGGATACTTTCATGGAGCTTCCTACATCCAGAATTAATATAGGCTTTAACTCTCTTAGTTTCATTAGCCACAATTATCTTCTCGACTAATTTAGAATTCGTGTCTATAGGAGGCCTCCTAGTAAACTCTGCACAATAAAAGTTAAAAGTTATAACATACAGAGGCGTTTGTTTCATGGAATCTTTTTGCATTCCAAGAATATATGAAAGTAGGAATGTGTATTCCTATGTTAGAAGTTATATAAAACACTCCCGGGTATGTTTTATTCCCATGAAAGTTACACACCTTTACTTGAAATTTTTTTGTTCCCGTGATAAGGGGATGGGTAAGTTATATTCCCATGGGAACGAGAGAAGTTACTTTATAACCTCCATTATAACTTCCATTCTTTTATTCTAGTTAATTTAGAATTTAAAAGTATTCCTATGAATATGAAAAGTTAACCAGATGTATTGTTTGACATGCCTAGGAATAATTTTCCAAAATATTCCTGTAAATTATGTTCCCGGGAGTATTAAATCATGACTTGAAACAAACACTCCCAAAGTGAATAATAAGCAATATCATTATTTTAACACAAGTTTAAAAAAGAAGTCCGTATAATTACCAAGTGCTTGTTGAAATCCAGACAGCAGCCTGCTTCCAGCGATTCCCAACTGATCAATCTTTGCAATCCTATCACAGGGTAGCTGTTGAGAAATAAAATTATATACAGATATATTATGTCACAAACAGAATACAAAATACATTTCGTCCTCGTATCGTATGTATGTATGTATGAGTGTGAGTGTGTATGTGTAAGAGAACCAAGATTCTTACAAAGGAATAAAACAAGAAAATTGGTAGAAATACTGGTATTATTGATGATCATAGGAAAATTCAATAGGGAAACATTTCCACTGCCACAGAGCAAGTTTCGTATAAAGGAATAGAATAGGAAAACTGATAGAAACACTGGTATTACTGATGATTCAGGGAACACTCAGCTGGGAAACTTTCTCACTGCCACATAGCAATTGCTCCTCCAAAGAGCTAATGTTCCCTGTTCATATAAGAACGTCATATAATTGTATATATAGTGTAAGGGTCATCCAGCATACCTAGACTCTCTGAAACTAGACCGTGTAGGTCTAAACAACGCATTCCACCTCATCATTCCCATTCTGCCCTCTGCTATTTCTTCCCACAAGAAATCCACACATCTTGGGCTTGGTCAGTAACTCAACTAATTGCCCCTTTGAGCCTAAGTCCAGTTCCGCATTCTAAACAGTATTTGTGTCTAGTACCTGTCTCTTAAGTCACAAGAATATACCAAGAAATTTTCATAATGCATCCATCCATTTCTTAACTAGTTAATTTTTATTTTTCCCACCATGTCATTCATCAATAATAATCACCTCCGACCCCTAGGAGTAGGGTACTTATTGCATATGCATAACTAATTGTCTTGAAGCAATTCAAAGTGAGCTACTATTATGATTTATATTTATGTAGGATGTCTTATAATCAAACTCTTATGACCAACTATCTAACTACAAAAAGTATAACAAAATCCTCTAAGAACTTCAGCTGATGCTTCTAATGTTTCTGCCCTCATAAAATTGTTCTTTCAATTATTTCATTATACATCTATGATAGATACCCAAGAAACAATGATATGGATATATTGTATTGTGGTATGAAAATGAAAAATATCAGCTCTACAGACACAGAAGCAGAACCTGGCAGCTGATTATAAATAGAAATACGGGAAACAAAACGATAGCCTAGGCATTTCGAGAGGCCTAGTATCACCAAGTTCCAAATTCAAACACGAATCCCTTCTCTCTCCTATTTTGTCCCTTAATACCTGATCAAACACACATCTCAAATCTCTCTCCCACTATTCGCACCTTCCAGCTCAGCAGTTAGTTATTTTCTATTTCCCGATTCTGATCCTGTGCATAGCCTATTTTTTCTTCTCTCACAGACCTTAGTAAAACGAGGGGTTCTATAAATCTTGACATCAATATGATTTTTTTATTCAAATCTCCTTCCGGAATCCATACAAAGCTGCAATTTTGGCAATGTAGTATTCATGAGAACGAAATAATTACTCAATATGAAGTAGTTCCAACCTAACAAGAACAGTCCCTCATGGAAATTTTCAATTTTGAAGGATCATCATCTGTCAAGGCCATATAATTTATTTACTTTGTAAACAAATATAACTACCGCATACAGACCAGCGATTTTTGGCAAGAAAATACATAAAAGATAAAAACTAGAGAGATTAGTAATTACCCTTTCATGAAATCTCTGAATTCTTCAAAAATTTCTTCCTCCAATTCAGAAAGTGATTTACCTTCCTTGCTTTCCATTCTAAAATTTAGAAGAAAAGTGTAGAAATCATTAAAAATAATTCTTAGAAAGAAAAATTCAACTTACCAAAACAGCATGCCAACCAAACTAAATGTTTGTCAACGAAGAACACAGAGCATGTGCAATAAATCACACAAACAAGCCAAAAGAAAAAAAGTAACAAAGTCTTAAGCCCCAAAATCACAAATTGGATAAATGAAATAACAGATAGCTTAAAAAATAAACAATAATTAAACTATACAGGAGGATTAAACTCAGACCTATTACACAAAGAAATGATTGCACACAATCAATATGAAAAGAAAAAACTCAGTTAATAAGAACAAACTTATGGATTGTGTGTGATCAACTGAGCAACTTACCTTTTATAAGGTAATGAAAAGGCCTATCCAGATGTAGAAGAAAGTAAAAAGAATGGTGGTTAGGCAGTAACTAGCCTCCCAACAGATAAAAAATAACCTTCTCTGTGTTGTAAACATATAAAAATAATAATAAATCAAATAAGGAATTGAAATTATATCCCAAAACAACTGATTTCATAAAGATTTTCATGATAAACAAGCACTTTAACAATCAGAATCACGAATTAAATGAGATGAGAAACAAGTCGCACGCAAAAAAATAATAATAATAAAAAAATCTCACCAAAACTAAAATTAGGGTTACACAATTCGACGGAACAGAAAAATAAAACCAAATGTTAAAAATATTCTATTATTGATTGTTCCCGGATTTTCAACTGCCTAAAATATTGTGGAATTGAAGGGATTATACAACGAGAGAACGCCAGTATTGACTCAAGAAGGCGCACCGAACCAATATGAGAATGAAAGCATTACAAGATGATGGAAGCTATTGAAGAAGGGGAAATTGCAAGAGATGAATGAGAGGGAAAATGAGAGTACTTACAATGAATAATTGATGCACAACACAGCACAAGAATAGTTGATCAGGAAAACAAAAAGAAAGAGAAAGGGATTTGGAACTGCAAGAGTGGCTGGCTCCTATGCTATTAGTCAGGTTCCAGTTGCAGATTTTGGAGATTGGGTTATACTAAAATTTAGCTATTTCAAAATTAAATAAACAAACACTTATACAATTATATTTTTAATCACATCAACACATTTTTAAAATATAGGGATTCAATTTATAAAAAAAAAATAGTGGATAATAATAAAGAGTGTCGTTTATTGAAGCTTAATATCAAGAATTGTAAAGAATTGTTGACATTTTTAGATACAGATATTTTAAATTTCTTATTTCAAGCATTGTAATGAAAATAATTGCCATAAAAAAGCAAAAAGATATAGAATCCAGATCCTGTTATCTATACAATATCAATCAGTAAAACAAGTGGAAGGGTTTACCATGATTCCTTTGTAGTAGCCTTTTTGGAGCAATTTGTACCTATTTTGGCCTTTGGTGGTAGATTTTTAACAGCAATGGGGAGTTCTATGAGCATATCTTGCAAACATTCTTGAATACATTTTTACTTAAAATATATATTATTGCATGTGATTTTTAAGTAATCTATATTAAAAAAATGATATAATTCATATTAAATTTTATTTTAATAGATAGTTTTTATAAATATTTTTATTTTATAAATTTTTATTTATATTTTACTTTATAACTTAAAAATAATTTAATTATTATAATTAAATATTAATTTATACAATATTTTAATGTTAAATGATGATAAATTTATAGAGGTTTTAAAAATTTATAAATATTATTTCATTTTTAAATTATAAAACTAATTTCTTTTAAAAAAAGTTATAAGATCAAAATAAAAAAAATATTTAAATAAGTATTGTATATCATTATTATAAAATTGTTGTTATTTTGTAAATAAAATATAAATATATTTATTTTACTTATTCTGGTTTATAATTAATGTTAAGAAATTTTAAATTTAATTATTTTTAATAAATGTGATTTTGAGACGTTGGTTTGGTTATCGAGCGAATTAAGAATATTTAGACAAAATTTTATGGGAGATAGTTTTTTTATTTGTTTCTCATTGTTTTTCTTAGGTATTATTATGAATGCACAAACAATTTTGTTACTTTTGATAATCATAAGTTACAAGATAAATTTGAGGAATATGTCATTTTACCTATCTTATAATTTTGATAGTGTTATACGTATTATTAAAAAAAATTGTAATTAATGTTTTTATGTATATTTATGATTTTGATTCCTTATTTAATATATTTTGTTTATATGTTTATAGTTTTTTTCTCTTTCACCCTTTCATTTTTTTTTATTTTTTTATATTTATTTATTATTATAATATATTATTTGATCCATGATTAAGATTGATTTTATATCCTTTATAATCAACACATAACTTATTAAATGAAATAAATAAACATTAAAGACTAACTGATAAAATAGGAGAAATTATATAATGGGAATAACAATTTTAAAAAAAGAATTCACATTTATTTATTTTGAGTAAGATCTCCTTCATGACTTAAACATATACTTTTTATATTTTTCATTGGTTAAGAAAAAACATAGAACAAGAAATCAAGAAAACAAAATGTTGTTCATTTAATTTAATTAATTCATAAATAGAACATTTAAGAAAATTTACACCATAAAAAAAAGGTACACATTAAAAAACCACTGATTTCAAGTTCCTATTTAGATTTTCTATTTTATGCAATTGTTAGAAAAAATTAACACTTCAAATATAATTGTCATATATTACTAAACAAGACTTCTAAATTCTAAAACATGCATAAGGATGACCTAGATAAAATAAGCATTTTTTTTCTCTAGTCAACCTATGTATACACACTTCCAATGACTTATCATAACTGTATGATTTATTATAATTAATCAAAATATTTTATTATAATTAATCATATAACGAGTAGAGAATTGAGGGTTTATCTTGGTAAGACCTGAGCAAGCACAATTCATGAAAAGACAATGTACCAATAAGGTTACCTAGTTAACATGACCAAGAAAAGACTTTAAAAAAACCTATAATAAAACCTAAAATGGTCAAAGACCAATATTTTCATGCAAAATGAAAAAGAAACTAAGTTAGACACCTATAAGTGTACACACGTGAAGCTAATAATCCACCTATAAGTGTACACACATAAAAGCTAATAAGATGATAACTAACTTGGTATATATTTTGTCTATTTATATATTTTTTTAAATTAGATTTTATCTCAAGTCATTAGGTTATATTTAGAGATGCTCTTTGTTTTATCCCATTCTATTTTTAGTTAATAAAAAATGAGATATACTACAAATTTTTATTTATCTTATTAAAAGATAGATTGAGAGATCGGTCCATCAATTTTTTTTATATAAAATTTGTATGTCTATTTAAAAAAATATATATTTAATTATATGCATACTTTTTAAATTTTTAGTAATTAACTAATATTTTTATTAAATAAATTAAAAAAATTATTATATTTATATATTAAAATAACTAATTATAATCAATAATTTAAATTTAATTAATTAATTTATATATTTTAAATTATAATATTTTAATATATTTTAATAATATATCACAAAAATATAATATTTTTAATTATAATAATTTTTATTTTTATTTTAATATAAAAATATTATTTTAAAATAAATTAACCCATTTCTTTCCGTTTTGTACCATCGAATTGACATATTAGATAAACAGCAAAAATAGATTTACGAGCTAAAATTACCAATTTTTTTACCATTTATTTTATCATATATTAACCTTCTTTAAAATTAAAAACAAAAAATAACTGCATATCATAAAATTATTATAAAAAATTTCCAAATGAGCAATTTAATTAAATCTTGCTAAAATCGTATCATTGGAAATGGAGTCTCCTTTGTGTTAATACGAAGTGGAGTTTCCACTGCATCTAATGCTTCCTCCATACTATCCAAATATGATTCACCACTCTTGACAGTAATTTAAAAATTTAACAAGATTCACTTTAAAATTTTATATTTTTTTGCATTCCATTTGGTAAACAACGAATCAAACAATGATACAATACAAATAACTGAAATAAGTAAACTTGTAGGTTCTATCCTATACTAACAAATTCAGTTGAATCTGATATTTAGAATCTCACAAATCAAACACTGCCCATCCTGGCATATAATGATAAAATTTCAATTGGCATTTGGAAGTGGCAAAAAAATTGTCTTAACTTGCAACTTGCAAGCTTCAAGAGAAATTGACAACAAAGTGGGCATAAAGATGACGACAACAGTACATAATTGTCGAGAGAACATAGAGGGGCAGAGAGAAGAGAGCAACAATGGACTAACTAACTACTGATATTTATAAGCACCACCGAGAACCAGCGTTGCAGCGTCACTATAAGAAGGAGATAACCTGTTGCGATGTCAAACACAACCATTGAGAAAGTAAGTGTGAGTTCCGCAAGTTGAGAGAGATGATACAATAAGAGACGAGGTCACGCACAAGCGTAAGGGCACATCAAAGGTAAAGCCATTGTTGATTTGAGGGCAATGTCAACGTCAATAGTGTTGGCATTAATGTCCAAAGGGAAGAAATTCGTCGAAATTATTGTATGAAGAGAGGAAAGGAAAAGAAAAAATAGGATTTAATATGGTAAGTTTATGTTGTTAGTCACAAACTCCTTAATAGTAGTGATTTTTTTTTTCATATAAGAGTTTGGTTTTATTACAAGGATTTTACATTTTGTAACTCGAGATTGTCATATACTGTGACATGACTTTTTTTCTTTTTTTTTTCAATAGTATCTTTTTAACCTTCTTAAAATTTAAGTAGTCATCATTACAATCTTATAATTTGAATATATGAGTAATTATTATTTAAATATATATCTAGAATAGGATATGAAATAGATTTAAACATTAAAATTTGTTTTTATCTTAGATATAAAACTTAAATTCATAAATTAAAATTTAAGTCATGTTTTTATGAGAGCATTTTTAGATAAAAAATTGTTAGTTTTATTGAAATTTGAAAAATTAAAAAACAGAAAAGGAATATACATATATTCAAATAGTAAAATTACAATCCTTATCAGAGTGGTTTTCATAAAAACAACTTTAATATAATATAATTTTTAATTCTGGTGGAGATAATTTTAGTGGAGATAAAAATATAATGTCATTGATTGAGATTAAAAAAATTCATATTTGAGTTTATGTAAAAAAACATAGTTTTAATCGATGATATTTTTATTATAAGTAAAATAATTTTATTAAAATTAACCCTCTTTCTTTAGTGAAAACTTTTCACTACAAAATATAATTTTGTACTTAGAAAATTTAGAATTATTCTCATTTCTTCCTATATATCACTTATTATCTAAGACTCTTTTATATTAAACAACTTCACCAAATCAAAATGTATAAGTAATGATTTCAATTCATTCTTCATCATATCTAACTATTGTTTTTATTCACTTTTTATGGTGTTTTTAAATCACTATTATTTATCTTTTGTGTAGATGTGTATTGTTATATTCAACATCATATCTAAAGCTTTTACAATCCAAATAATTTATCTTTTTCTTAATTTTTGTTTGAGTAAAAAATGTCTATGTGAATGAGTGATTTTTCAATTTTTAGTAATTGTTGCGATTGAAAGTTCTTGAAGAACGTATTAGAAGAACCTCTGGTTGAACATACTATCAAGAAGATGTAAATGTGTAAAGAATAATTGAAACTAACGACATAATACAAAAGGATATTTTTTTAATATTTGATGGAAAGTTGTTTGATGACTGAAAAATCAAAATGCTTGTAGGTTTTTGTTTTCAAGACATTGTTAAAGTAGTAATGGTGGGACTTGAAAACCCTAGACAAAGAGTTATTGAAAAAGAGAAGAAAAATTACAAACTACAACAGAAACTAGAAAGTAAAACACAATTTTTCATCTATTAGTATGTAAACTCCAAGATCTTCAATAAAATCTCTAAGACATCCACCTCAAATGAAACATGGGATATCTTGGTAATGACTTACGGTGATGATGATAAAAATAAAAAAGTGAAATTACAAACCTTAAGAAGACAATTTGAAGTTTTTAGTATGGAGGAAAATGAGACAATTGCAGATTATTTTTACAAGGTTCAAAAACATGTCAATGTCATGAGGGTCTTCAAGGATAGTATCACATATCAACACATTATGTATAAAATCTTGAGAGCATTGCCTCCAAGATTTAATCATGTGTTAGTTGCGATTAAAGAACAAAAAAACTTAGATGTTATGAAACTTAAACTTAAGATTAATGAAAGAAAGCACAATCAAGAATATGTATTTCAAGCATGTTTAAATTATAAGAGAAAGTAAAGAATCATGAAAAAGAGGCAAGTCAGTCCACAAATAGAAATCACAGGATAAAAAATTTAGTGATGTAGGTGAGTCTTCCAAAAATAAGTCAAATAACTATGATCAAGAATAAAGTATCAACTCTAATGGAGATAAGGAGTAGAAATTTGATAAGAAGAAAGTGAGATGTCTTAATTGCGAAAATTGGTCATTTTGCTCAAGAATGTTAGAAAGGAAAGGGGACCAAGAACAAGCCAAAGAATCATGCAAACTTGGCACAAGATGATGCATCAGATTCTGAAGCAATGATGTTTATGGCAAAAACTAGCACAAATTTCTCATATGACACATCATGGTTTCTTGACTTTGATTGCTCTACTTATATGATAGGTATGAATGACTTGTTTATAAAGATAAATGATATATCTCAAGAAAAAATCAGATTTGTTGGTAACATAAGCCTAACTGTGGAAGACACTAGAAGAGTGATGTTGAGAAATTATGATGGTAGAGAAATGATAATTGACAAAGTATTGTACATACCTAGACTAAAAAACAAATCTCTTAAGTTTAAGTTAATTACTACAAAAAGGATTTATTATAACAATGGAGGATAAAAACAAATATTTGAGTGTTTTTAATAAAAACAAGAAACTTGTAATTCAAACTAACCTATCACATACTAAGACTTTTCAAATTGGAATGATAACACTTTGATGCATCAATATTTTGCCACTTCAAAAAATAGAGTAGAATGGTTGTGACACTTCAAGTATGATCATCTCAATTTAAGAGATTTACATCAACTTAGGCACCAAAATATGAATGAAGGATTAAGTTAATTCTAGAAGAAATATACAAAGAAAGTGTTTAGTGTAAATAAACATGGGGAAAGTTCAGCAAGTTTCAACCACAAAAGACTATAAAAATATAGGAGTGATACACTCAGACATTTGTGGTCATCTACAAGTCGAAACTCCTAGAGGTAGCATGCAATTCATCTCATTTATTGTTCATTTGACTAGAAAGATGTTGGTATATTTATTAAAAAGAAAGCATAAGGTGTTAGATGTCTTTAAGAAATTTAAGTGCATGGTTAAGAAACAAAGTGGGAAATAAATTACAGTTTTAAGAACTAATGATGAAGATGAGTATATATCAACTAAATTCAATAAATTATGTGAGAATAAGAGATTATTACATAAAATCACACCTTCCTACACACCCTTACACAACGACACAACCGAGAGAAGAAATAAAACTTTGTTGAATATGGTAAAATGCATCCTAAAAATCTACCAAACTACCTATGGGGAAGTTGTCTCAAAAGTTGCATATGAGCTAAATAGGTCTCCCACTAAGAAAGTGGAGGGAATAACCGAGGAAGTTTGGACTGAGATCAAACCTGATGTCACTCACTTAAGAATATTTGGTTTAATTTGTTATAAGACATGTTCCCGATCATCCTAAGAGGGAAGCTAAATGATAAGGGTATTCCACCTATAATGGAGGCTACAAATTATTTGATCTAGAAACAAATCAGACATCAATCAGCCGGTGTCATAACCAAAATTGCGGCGGGATGATGAACAAAATTTTAAGATTCAAAAAAATCATAGATTTGAAATTGTGACCATAGTTTATTTGATAAAACTATGAAAAAATCGTAAAGATAAAATAAAGTTTACGAAAATTGAATTTGAATTTAAGAGTCAATTACACGTAAAAAAAGTATTAACATCCTACAATGTTCGTCCTAAGAAAATTGCCCTTAATTAAATGTGAAAAATTGAATATTATTTTAAAAAATATTTATTTCTCCCAAAATAAATAAAAAAGACACAAAAAATAAAATGAATAAAAATATTTTTTATTTTTTTTGGAACCAACTTATTCTCGTTCAAAATGAGAAATTATAGTTATGTAATTTTTGTAGAAAAAATTGTTATGCTTCATTAAAGTTTTGAAAATTTGTGTTTTTAAAAGAGTTTTATAATTTTTGGTGCTTTTAAAGAAATATTTTTATCATTTCTACCCTTTTTGGAGACTCATGATGATGCATTCAAGTGTACTCGTGTTTCAAAAGCTTATTTGAAAAGACAAGAATATGACAATCCGATCGAGCCTTAACCTCAATTTATTTTTAGAGAAAAGGACATGATGACACGTTTATTTTAAAAGAAAAGACATAATGACACACGCGACTATGCCCGGACATCAAAATTTTATTTGAAAAAGAGGTATTTGAAAATGAGGGCATTACGAGGTGAGCAATGTACCTCAAAGTTTTATTTAAAAAAAAGACATGAGACACAAATTACTGTACTTCAAATGTTATTAAAAAAAAAATATATATATATATATATATAACAACATGGATGGTTATTCCTGTATCTCCAAGTTTATTTTATTTAAAATAAGATACATAATCCTATATCAGAACGCAGGACCGACAACCCAAGGTCGGACTCGGGCCGACAGCCCTAAACGTCAAAGTGTAAGCGCCTACAGCATCTTAAAATGTGTAACATCATTCAACCTGATTAAGCAACAACAAAAAAATCCAAATAACACAATCCAGTCTAAGATTAGAAATAGTCCGCTCTGATTTAACTTGCACAAACAACATAGCCCGATTAAGTCCCAACAGGATCCAAACAACATAGCACAACCTAGTCCAATACAGTCCAATCTAAATAATACAATCACTTCAGTCCGATATAATTAAGTATAGTCCACAACTAGGATGCAGAACAAACAAAAGTCCTATATCAAACCCGCAACCCTATCTTAATTAGACGACCACGGTTAGCGCACAACTTCAGCACATGATCATGCAAAATAAAAGAAATCAATTCAAACCAAACACTCTTCGGAGTCACCCAGAGCTTGTAATTCCCCGATAATTACATCACAATTAAAATAAGAATTCAAAACATTTTCAGAACAAAATAAGAATCCAAAACATTTTCAGGACAAAATAAGGAATGAACCATTAAACTCGCCCATGAATAAGTGCACCTTACCGCACCTTATGAGACTAATGAACGAAAATTCAGTAACATAACAGCATCACAACAACATAATCAGAATAGGACCCACAGTCCTTAATAACAGTCCATAAGAAAAAAACAACTCCCAACTTGACAACAACAAGAACAAGATGAACAATATTCAGTCCACATCCCAGACAGAAGCAATCAAAGTCAAGAACGACAAACTCAACAGAAGGTTTTCCCACATATGCTAGTAATCAAACAGAACAATACTAGTAAACCCACAAACAACATAATGGCAGAGAAGATGAACTCTGCGCCAAACAATGTTCCTGTCAACTCCTCATTCGAACAAGACCAAGAAGGAAACGAGAGAATAAAAATGTGATCCAAAGCAGAGATTCACAAGCATATAACATTGGTAAAGGCATAAATCAGAGAGGAGCAACAGTGGTGCGACTAAGCGACACTGAGATGACTCGCGACACAACTGAGTCTGTGGTGGAGGCCGACGATTCGGGTTAGGGCTGGTGATTGGCTCACACGAGTGACTACTTAGGGCAAGATGACGCTGGCCGTGGTGAGGTACTGGAAAGGAGTATAGCTGGAAAGGAGTATAGCGAGTTGGAGGGATCCGTGGTCAAGGAGGTTGAAGCTGATGCAGTGGTGGCTGGCGGTGGTGAAATGGGTTGCTTGCGGTGAGGTTAGGCGCGACTGCTGGTGGAGGCTACGGGATTCCATAGAGGTGAGACCGAGGTTGAGGGTGGTGCGGTGAGGGACGCGGGCCGGAGTTGATTTGAATGAGACGAAGATGGTGGAATGGAGCTTTCCCGGTGAGGGTGATGGTGCGGTGAAGGTGGATGAAGGCGGGATCGTGGCTGGGGGAAAGAGATGAAAGTTATTAGGGGCTGGGCAAGACGCAACGAGGAAAATGAAATGGGGAATGGGGTGACGAGAGGGTGGTGGTGCGTGGTGGCTGGCAGATTCGTAGCAAGGTGAGGGAAGAGGAGAAGAGTGGAGATGTTGATGGTGAGGAGGAGCGGAGATGAAGGGGAGTTTGGTGCGAGTTAGGGGAAGCGGTGGATATAGCCACTTGGACGAGGGAGCTCGGGACGGAGAAGAAACGGGTATGACGTTAGTGGGTGTGTGGCCAGCGCTGGCTAGTGCGAGGCGGAACGATGGGATTCTAAAAATTAGAACAAAAAATAAAATAAAAAATAAAAGGAAGGACTTCAATCTGACTACCCCTCCTTTATTATTATTTTTTAAGAGAACCTAAACCTTAAAATTAACGTAAATTAATATGAATGAGCTAGGTTTAAAAGTAAAATTGTATTTTAAATTTTTATCTATATTTTTTGTTTTTTCTCTTTTTTAAGAGAAATCCTAACAAACTATTCCTTAATTTTTCCTTTTTGTTTTCATAAAGAATTTTTTTTTATTTTTTTCTCAAATATTTTTATTTTTACTTTTTATTTCTAATGTTTTGCTTACATTTTTTTCTTTTTTTATTTAAAAAAATGAGAGACGAATTTTTTTTTTTAATTTTAATTTTCTTTCACTCTCTTTTTTCTTTTTTTCCTTTTTAAAATTTTTAAAATAAACTCTACCATTTATTTTATTTTATTTAAATTAACTATCTAAATAAATTTGGGTGTTAATAACATGATATAATAATTGATAAAATAACAAGTTTGAAACTAAAAAATAACCTCAAATAAGTTAGCACGAGTCCCAAGTTCTACTTGAAAAAGGGTCCTAAACTATATAAGTGAAGTCTGATAATCAATTTGTGAGAAGATTCTCTAAAATAACTTAGTTTTCATCTCATATAAGATATTATAAATTGTCACCTCGAAAGAAAATTTAGTGTATTTCGCATTTATGGTTGAAGTTAAGCTTATTGAATTTGAGAAGACAGTCACATATATGAAATGGTTGAAAGCTATACAGAAGGAGATTGACTCTATTGATTGAAATCATACATGAGAATTGGTATAACCACCTCAGAATAACAAATTTATAACATTGAAGTGGGTTGATAAAGTGAAAGTAAATAAAAAAAGTGAAATTGCGAAACACAAGGTCATACTTGTACTAAAAGATTTCAATAAAGCATATACCCATAAAATGTATAAAACTAAGACAATTTGATTTGTGGTATCACTTGCAACAATGTCAACTGGTCCATGCACCAACTTGACATTAAATCTATCTTTCTCGATGGTCCCTTGAAGAGGAAGTGTATGTACACTACCCACAAGGATTTGAATTTAAAGACTAAGAACACAGTGTATAAACTCAAGAAGGTTGTATATGAGATCAAGCAAGTTCCAAGGGCTTGGAATCGGAGAATTGACAAATTTTTAAGTCAAATTGATTTTGGAAAATGCATCTCTAAATATGAAGTATGTGAAATGTTGGCATAAGAATGTGAAGACAAAAAAGTTAAAGTATAACATTTATTGAGCACATTCAACATGCACCAGAGCAATGCAACAAGCACATCAGCTAAAGTTGAATTGAAGTTGGAAAAGAAAATAGATGAAGAATGGTTGGACCTCACCATCTATCGGAACATCATTGGAAACTTGAGGTTGTGTAATAAAAGACTTGACTTGAGCTTTAGTGTAATATTGATTAATACGTATATGCAGCATAAAAAAATAGTCACATTTGCTTGCTACAAAAAAAATATTAAGGCACCTGGAAGATACAACTGATTTCGGGACTTTATTTTCAAAATGAACATATAACGCTAGACTATAAGTAATTGGATGTTTAGATTCAGATTATTGTGGAGATTAAAATGACGGACAAAATACTACATGTTACATTTTTCTTTTTATGGAGGAGCACAAATCTCATGAAGCTCTACAAAAGAACCACTACAACTTGTCAAACAATGTGACTAGGATCATTAATACGTAAATAAAGGTAAATATAATTATGCAAGATAAAACTACTCGTAGACAACAAATCAACAATTGACTTAGCAAAACCCCTAATATCGCATGCATCTATGTATTTATAAAAACATTAAAAGTTAAAAGGTTAAAAAATTTAAGAGAATTAATTACGATGGTCTATATAGACATAATTTTGACTTGAAGAGAAATAATAGAAATAAAGTCAAAGTTAATTTGTTAATTTTTTTATTTTACTTTCTTCTATTACGACTAACTATATATATATATATATATATATATATATATATATATATATATATAACAAATAATGAGACAAAATATTATTCAATTTTATCCTTTGTGCATACGTGTACAGTTACACTTATGATTACCAATATTTATCTCTTAAACTCTATGTATGTTCATATATTTTTTTCAAAAGATATATCAATATTTTCAAAATAAATTTTCTATTTAATATAATTTATAAAAGAATTATAAAATTTTATACTTCTTAAATATTTTATTAAGGGAATATCATTCCTCTATTCCTTAATATTTAGTCTTCTAAATTAGTCTTTTAAATGACATTTCTAGCTCTGTCTAAATGTTACTTAAGAAATTTAAGTTTACCGATAAAAGACAAAAGTTTCATGTATATATTATTTAGAGAGAAAGGAATTAAGATGATATATTATTTAAAAGGATCTCTTCTTAGTCTTGTTTAAATAATTATACAAAACAATATAAAGTGATATAATAGACCATACAATGTAATATAATATGCCAATAATATGGAACTGCAACTAATTTGACAAAAACAATAATATTTCTTATTATTTGACAAATGGTATAGATTCGTGTAAAATGTGATATTTATAAATCAATTGTGATTAATTATACGATGTGATATTGAAAAAAATTATAAATTTATATTAATTGGGATATTTATGAATTTATTATAATAAATTTTAGTTATTTAATATTTTATAATTGTATTAATATTTTTTTAAAATTTAATTATTGAAAAAATTACATAAATAAGAATATTAAAAAATATATACAAAATCATTTCTTTTTTTGTCATACATTATCATCCAAGGTTAGACACCTCCAAATTCATATTTTTATTGTAGCTCATTTCTGAAGGCTGTGGCAATTTTTGTTTTCCAGTCATTATTCTTTAATCATCAACTATTAGATATAAATGATAAGAGAAAAAATTGAAGATTAGATACATAATCAGTTTATTTTAGTTGGAACGTCGTAAGTAGTTGAACTCGTGCAAGTACGAGTAAGAAAAAAAAATTATAAGACCAAATTAAATCAAATTAACTTTTATGGGTAGAAGTAAAAAAATTCATGTTACCATTAACCAAATAAAATAATCTAAAATATTATTTTTCAATTCAAAGTTGAATATAAGAATGTTTTTGTTTTCATTTTCACGAGATTTATTTTTTATATATAATTTTTTTTTTCACCTTTTGTCTTTTCCTTGAAATTTTGTATGTAACCCTTCAACTTAGTTCAACCTTGTTTACTTTCCGTCTTCTACTCTTTATGTGACCACTTTACCCTTCTCATGTATCATAATTTTTTTTCTTTCCATGCTCAATCCTTTTATTATTATTTTTATTACTTTCTTTAGAATTTTAATGGTTGTTATTACTCTTTTTGTTACTTTATATGTCATTCTCATTCTCAAACTATACATGGTCTCTTCTCTATAAGTAATATTTGACAATAGTTAATCTCAATAAGAATGAATTCAAGAAAATAAACTACATGCTTATGCTTTTGAGGAGAATATCATGTTCTTAAAAGGAGAAAAGAAAAAAAACAAATATATATATATATATATATATATATATATTTTTATAAATTTGCTTGATTAATTAGGTAGTTTAATTTTTTTTCTTTTTCAAATTCTCTAATAGCCTTAGAAAGGATTAAAATCATACAAAGTAAATTTTTACTGGACAAAAATGAAGAATATGAGTGTGGAATGGGTTGGTTAGAGAATAACTGTGCTCATATGTGATGGTTTTAACTACATACTTTTAATAAACCTGTTATTTCATCAACAAGGTAAGGGATTGTTGAAAGAGGAAGGGGGAAAACTATTTTGCATGGGAGAAAAGTTATATAGAAAAAATAAACAATTAAAATACTTTAATAATAACATCATGTTAAAAAATAGAATATACTAAGATTTTAGGAGGACAAAAATTGAGACAAAGAAAATTACATATATTTGTATTTTAAATTCGGAGGAGAGATAGATATGAAACTTCAAATGAAAAAAGAATGTAATTTGAGGGAAAAAATGTTTTGCTGAATAACTTTAATGAAGAAAATATGTAATATATATATATATATATATATATATATATATATATAATTTTTATCTCACCATTGTTTTTAAGTGTGAAACATAAAATTAAGAGTAATTTTGTGGGATATGATATCATCTAAAGAATATATTTAAAAATAAAACATTTCTAAAAATAATTTAAGAAAGAAAAATATACTCATTAAAGTGAAGGAATTAAAATATCATTTTATGCCTAAGAAAGCATTGTCTTATGCATTATTTAGTTAGGATAATTAATTTAAATGATTTTGATAGAGTGGATTAACTTCTTTGTATCTCTACAAAAAAACACAAAATAAGATAGATTTAAACATTTGAAACAAAATATTTGATTATAAAATAATATTAAAAATAAAAAAGTATGCTAGCTACATTGTATATAACATACAATATTTTCAATCTATTTATTTTTTACCATAATCCATATTTCCTTACATCGTGGTGTTTCCGTTAAAGAATAGTATGGTGGAAATTAGAGTAACAAGGCTGCAATTTACATATGACGCATAATTAATACATAGGTTTATCAGTTTATAATTCTGATTTGATTTGATATGCCACAAAGTGTAAAAATTGTTCAGCTTTGGGTATAATCTTTTGTTTATCCTAATTCTATATTAAAAAATTATTAATATATTTACATAAAAATAATTAAATAAAAATTTTAAAATATATTTATATTAATAAAATTATTTTTTATTTTAAATATAATCATTTAATATGTAAATTATATGAAAAATATTTATTTAATATAAGAGTTAAAAAATTATTATTTATTATCATAATTTAATTTTGTAGTGATTTATTTATATAAAATAATATTTAATCTTAATGATTAGATAATAAAATAAGTGAATATTAAAAAATTATATTTTTTAAAATAAATTATTTTTTATCAAATTAATTTATAATATATATTAATAAAATAATTTTAATTTGATTTATTTAAAAATAATTAATTAATTCATAAGTCTATAGGTTAAATTAACTAAAATTTATGTATATTATAATTTAAATAAAATTAAAATAATTTAATTCAAGTTAAATCATGTACTTTTATTTAATATGAACTATATCAAACTGTGCCAAAGCTACTTTTACACCTCTCATTTTTGTTCCACAGTTAAAATTTTTGGTTCTACAGTTTTTGTTTTTATTTTTTCTATAGCAACTTTTTTGTAAATAGGCTGATGTATATATGAAATCAATGAGCATTATATTCATTCATCACAATTGGGTAACACTGGCACCATAGTAATGTACTTTGTTGATTAAGGAAAAGGTAACACAATTTTGTTTAAAAAAGTAAAATTATTCTGAAGAATAAAAATATTTTTAAAATATTTAAAAAATAAAGCTTGAAATATTTATTTAAATTACAACCATTTATATTGATTGAGGTTTTGATTTCAAATGAAACCAAAATAAAACTGTCTTTGTGTTAATAATTTAAAATATTAAAATTTGATCAAATAAAATGTATATCTGAAAATTATTTTCTTAAAATATGATAAATTTATTCGAAGTTTTGATTTCTGAACTATTTAAGTGTATAAAAGTATTTTTAAAAGTGTTACGTAGTTACGTAGTTTCATCCCAACAAAATGAAAACACAAATCGGAGCCAATCATCCACCACCACCTCCATAATGAAGGGCGCTTACATATCACGCAACATCCCACTCCTTCGCTCTTTCGTCTACCCAAACAAACCTCATTCTCCTCCTATTATTATAATTTATAATTTATATTAAACAATTCCAGACACTGTCACACTTCCCTTTCATGCAAGAGTTTTAATATAATATATATTTATTTATTCATAAAAAAAAAAAAAAAAAAAAAAACCGTAAGGGAAGAGAAAAGAAGTGTTTGGAAGGATTGTGAGTGTAACCGCCTCAGCTCCAATTGATGACATTCACGCCACGGCCATGGAGTGAGTGAGTGAGGGAGTAATTGCTTACTTTAACTTTCTCTCGCCGCAGCCAAACACCGCTTTCTGTCATGGACTCCGTTCCCTTTCGCGATGGCAACATACACGCGATTCTCGACTCTCGATATCTCCATTCTCCACTGGTATTCTTCTTCCTTTTCCCTCTTTTCAAAGCCTCTTCATACTACGCGATTAAGAATCTTGCCAATTCTGATTACCAATCTGGTGCATGACGATTCGATTAAAGAAGTGCTCTAATTTTCGTTCATGATTTTAGCCGTGTCTTATGATTTTTGACCCCGAGAATATTCCTCTTGTTTTCTTTAGGACGTTAATCACACTTTGCAGACTCATTCCTCTCTGATTCGGAGGCTTTCTCAAGAAAGAGAGTTTGAGGTTGGTAACGTATCTTGATTTACTCCTGCATCGTCCTACTTTCTGTCATATGTGAGCATGGAATTGGAATATCGTCCGTGAGAATATCCTTCCAAAATATTATTCGATCATATGCATTTTTCTTTGTGTTTTAGTAGTCACTTGAAAGTTAAGAAATGTGAATTTATTATTTTAGTGTTGATTTATTGTTTTATCATAACTTGCGTATGTTTTAGGTGATTCTTGAACTTTATATTACGCATGTTTAAAGAATATTGAATAATTGAAGGAATGCATGTAAATATATATTTTGATGTCCTTCTTTTATATTCATCATGTCCTTGAGAAATCGTTGTACAGTATATTCAATGTTTTAAAAAATGGTTTTCAACTGTGATTTTGGATGCAACATCTAGTTTTTTGGGGTTATCACAGCCACAACACAATCACAATTTTGGCCACATCTGATGCATTTGTTAGTAATTTCCTGCAATTTAAAACCTTCATTACATGATTACATATATTGATTAGACTTCTTGAAAAAGGTAGGCAGAAGTCATGAATTTCTTAAAAATGCTGGCACTACCTATACATTTCAATGAACATTCTCTTCATGTTTTTGTAGCTGTTTGCTTCATTTTCTGTGCATCATCTCACCACCAAAAACAAATAATCTGTAAACCTTAGTTTAGTTTGTTGACTTCGCTGGGTATCCTTTTGCTCTTGATTTGAATAGGGCCACCTTGGGTGTGTCAATGCGGTGGCTTGGAATTCCAAAGGTTCGATGTTGATATCTGGATCAGATGATACTCGGGTAAGGCACATATTTTCAGTGTCACTTTTGTTGCAGTCTCATTTGTAGATACTAGATTGTAGCTATAAGATGTAACATCAATATGATGTTGATAAAACGGGAGATTCTTTTTTTTGAAATATAGGAAGAGAAATATATGAGAAATAAACTTAAAACATATTTTAAGGTCCAAGAAACTATTGAATATTTTTTTTTATGTAGATTTTTCCTTTGTAAAATTCCCCTATCTTCATGGTTCTAAACTGAAGTTTCTTTGTCCATGATTACATTGGCCTATGACTTCCCTTTTGCAGACTACATGTACTAGAGACATTGACATCTCTTCCACATATTATGCTTGCATCTAGTTCTCTCACATCTGTGATTTATTTTCAAACAAAGTAGAGGGAATGATAAAAAAGCATCAAACTACTTAGAATAATTCTTTGATTTATTTTATGTTTTGTTTTGCCTGATTTAATTTTTTTTATGATTTATAATTATTGAGTCATGACTAGTTAGATAAATTCAATTGTAACTGCCAGAAGATAGCAAACAGACTGATAGAGTCATAGAGCAAATGATTACAGCCTTTCTGTTTTTGGTTTATAACTACCTCTTGGTATTCCCCAGTAGCAGAAGGCACTGATTTACCTGATATTTTGCAGATCAATATTTGGAGCTATTCTGGCCGAAAACTTCTACATTCAATTGACACAGGACATACTGCAAATATATTCTGTACTAAGTTTATACCAGAAACTTCTGATGAGCTTGTAGCCTCTGGAGCTGGAGATGCTGAAGTAGTATTATGATCCTTCAATATTTTTATGGCTCATGCGGTTTTCTCTAATTTCATTTATTTTCATTTTGACAGGTCCGGTTATTTAATTTGTCTCGCTTAAGTGGGAGTGGATCTAGTGACAATTCCATCATTGTTCCATCTGCGCTTTACCAATGCCACGCTCGAAGAGTCAAGAAATTGGCTGTAAGTTATGTTGTCTAAGAATATACCAATAAAGGAAATAAATCAAAATCTATGTTGACATGTCTAATTGAATCTGCATCCTGTGAGTTTTCATGTCTCCCTTATTCCTTTTTGCAGGTTGAAAATGGAAACCCCAATGTAGTATGGAGTGCTAGTGAAGATGGGACCCTAAGACAACATGATTTTCGGGAAGGTACTTCCTGTCCTCCAGCTGGGTCTTCACACCAAGAGTGTCGAAATATTCTTGTAAGTGACAGTTGTATTCATTCATACTTAAAGGCTTTGAATGCAATTGAACCTTGCCTGATATGAACATCTGGGTTGAATTCAAAATTTACAGCTCTTGTATGCATATACATGAGCTGGGAAATCTGGTTATCCTTCATTTCTGTAATATTTGAATTTACCAATGAAAGACCAATTGGTTTGCTATCTGCTATTAGAGTATCTGCAGCAACATGTAGCATTTATGTTGATCTCATCAATGAGCTGGTTCTTTTTCATTAAAATAAAAACCTCCCATTACAGTATCGGAGGAGTATATTTTTACATGCAATAATGTTGGATGTAATCATGTGATTTTCCATGGTACCCTCCTTTTTTTAATGAGAAAATGTTTTCCTTTATATTATTTATTATACATTTTAGTTCTTCACACTAAATGGGAAGGTGCTCTAGGATGGAGAGGAGGGATCAACTGGCTCTTCTGACATTTTCTCCTGTTTTTCCAAACTGACACGAGTTATTGTGATAGATAATTTACGTCCTAAACTATAAATGCAATGGGAAACCAATATGACTAAGGCATCTCTAGGGAATTGTTAATTATAAACAATTCTATGCTTGAGATATCTTTGATCTCATGATGCTATCATTATTGCCTTTTCTTAATCATTTGGAAATCAAATGGCTTTAGGATGGAAGATATTTAGTATGTAAACAGTCTTTCTAGAATGTACTTTTTGTTGTGTACTGTTAGTTAGTCAGGAAGCTGATTAACTATGATCATTGTTTCCTAAATTTTGGAATCCTTTTTTTTTTTTTTTCATTAACTGATTTTCATGTTTAATGTCAGCTTGACTTACGAAGTGGATCTAAAAGATCACTTGCTGATCCTCCTAAACAAGTCCTTTCTTTAAAATCTTGTGATATTAGTTCAACTAGACCACATTTGCTCCTTGTTGGTGGGAGGTATATATTTCTGGTGATTAATTATGTTATTCAATTCATCCTTTTATTTCAAAACTGATGTTAGACTCTCCATATCTTGCAGTGATGCCTTTGCACGCTTATATGATAGAAGGATGTTGCCACCTCTTAGCTCATGTCGGAAAAGAATGTCTCCTCCTCCTTGTGTTAATTATTTTTGTCCAATGCATCTTTCTGATCGTGTGAGTCCTTTGCTTTACTGACATGTGATTATCAATTTTTGAAGTGTTTATATTGCAGTTATTTGTTTAATTTGTCAAGTGTTGAGTATATCACTAGTCCTTTTTTGGGTTAAAAGGATAATTTCTTTTAGAGAAGGGATACATACGATGCAGTAGGATGAGAAAACCTAAAAAGAAAAACATCAAATGAAAATTGGATATGCTGAACTTTGCCCATTGTTGAACTGTATTTTTTTATTTTTTATGGATTTCATATAACTTGATTTCTTTTGGTAGGGTATCTGGTCATTTTCTCTTTCATTTCTTTCTTTCTCATATCTGGAAAAGCTTTTATTATATGTGAAACAAAATTTCATATCTTCTTGTTAACTTATATATTCTCCATCTTCACTTTTGGAAGTGTGATCCTGATGGATTGCTAGGTATCTTATTTTTCTACAAGTTTCTCATCTGTGCTGAAAAAAAGTAAATAATCAATGAAAATTTGTTTCTTTCCATCTTTGAATTGTAGTGTGATACTTGTCTGAACTGCGCATGCTATTATGGGTATAAATAATATTGTTGATAAGCTAGTGATTGAGGTTTACTTTCAAGTACAAGCATCACTTGTTTACTGTTGGTATGCCAAATATTTCAAATTTGCTTGCAATGATATATGTAGGTTTGGGAACTCTATTCCATTCTAGAGGGCTAAGTGGGACAGTTAATGTGTTAAATTCCACCTACTTACCTTTTGGGTATCCTCATCATAAATCTAGATAACATTATTTTACTTTCTTAATTTGTCTCTTTTTTCTTCTTTTGTTGATGCACCGTTCATAGGATTGTCAAAATAGGTGGCTTAGTCTGATTTGGCCTTACGAGTCAATTGAAAATTTTTAATGACCCATTCTATCCTATATTTGAAAATGGGTTATAATTTTTTGTCTACCTTGATCCTATGTTAGACCAACAATTACAAATTAAAAAAAAAGTCACAATAGACCATTTTTCTCAAACATTTTACCATAAACAGCAGATAACAAAACACTTTATCTTTTTCATTTCACTTAAATACATATTATAGACATCAATAATTGAAGTGTTTTTTGTAATTAATTTGTAGTGTCATCCCTTCTTCATCTACCATTACCGAATCACTAACCCCGCCTTGCTCGGATAGGTAACCAGACTTCCCCTATATAGATATGGTCTTACTGCCTAAAAGTACATGTCCATAATGGTCATTAGCCGATCCATTTATCCAATTTATTTTATTAACTAGACCCAATTATAAAGGCCCATCAAATTAAATATGTTGAGGGTCTCTACTATTCACGGTGCTTAACTAAACAACGGATAATGAGGAAAGAATCCCATATATTAAGGGAGATATAATATCCCATATCTCATGCCCATAATCCTCATATTTCGAGATCCATAATCCACATATTTACGTAATCCTACTATGTGAGGATTGTCACTCATAAATAGGCTCTCCAACATATATCAAAACAGGACGGAGACACAACTATTTGATTAATTGTTTTGGTAACAAATGAGACCTCAAATTATTGGAACATAATTTAAAATTAGGATTTAAAATTTTATTTAGCTTTCAAACCCCCTCGTAGCTAAATATTAGATCATTTAATAATACATTTAACACGAGCCTCTCGGTAAAAGTTAAAGTCAAATTTTCGTTGTTTTGATAAGTTAGTCTTATTATATAATATAACTATCACACAAGATACTTTGGAAATACACTATATTTAGGAAAATTTTATCTTAAATGATTGGTCCTTGAAGTTCTTTTATACGTATATAATTTTTTATAATTCTTACATTTACATTTTTCCACCCCATCAAGTAGACCAATCTTTTCAAAATAATTCTACACCTCAAAAGTAATGGTCTTTCTTTTCATCTTTTTGTTCAAAATGATCCTTCTTATTGTTAGTAGGCACAATAGAACTACAACCATTACCAGGTGAGTTACTAATTGGAGTAGTTTTTGTAGTAAGAAATGGAGTTGTCATAATTTATGCAATAGGTGTTGCAGGAATAAAAAAGTACAAATTTTATCAAAAGGATGGAAATACTTGTAAAGAAAGCATGTGGAGACATAGGAATGGGAGGGATGCTTAGATGTGCGAGAAGTTATAGCAAGAGATGCGTGAGGTAGCGTTGGATGAGGCACGCCGCTCATGAGGTAGCGTTGGATGAGGCACGCCGCTCTAGAGGCTCTATGAGGATGGAATGGGTGCTTTTGTGTTGTTATTGCATTGTGGTTGTGGAGCAAAACAGAAAGAAGAAAGATGTTTGGAGTGCAAAGGCAACACTGAGAAAGAAGATGAACAAAACAATTATATTTAGGTGTTTTTATTCTTTGTAAATTCTAACATTCTTATAAAAATAAAAATATATTATTATACGGGTTAGTTCATTAGTCTATGGGCTAGCCTGATCTTGATTTAGGGTTTAAGGTCCTCATGGACTGTTGATCCAAATTGGCTACAGGTTAAAAAGGATTCTTTTTCTTTAGGCCGCATTTTCAAAAGCCTTGCATGTCGAGCCTAGCCTATTTAATGCCCCTAACCATCCATTGTGAGCTTAAGAATATTTATGTCTTATGAGATGGTGGTATTCAGGGGAGTATTCACATCTCGTGAAGAAAATGTCAGATGTGGCTGTGGTGGTTGCAGTTTTTTCTAAAAGGTGCTGGGGTCGGATATCACTATTAGTTCCTCTGTCTGTACTGCAGAATGCCTAAACCAAAATCAAATAGTTTGTAATGTTAATTTTTCATTCTCCATACCTAATGCCCTTCATGCTCTTGGTTTTGTTGAATTTGCTTCCCCATTTGTTCCCCCTTGGTATATGGTGATTTATGGACATGTAAGTCTTTTAAACACTTCAAGCCAAATGACTTTGCTCTTAAGTTGTGTCTTTTTCTTACAGGGACATCCAAGCTTACACTTAACTCATGTTACATTCAGTCCTGATGGACATGAGGTTCTCCTCAGCTATAGTGGAGAGCATGCTTACCTCATGAATGTAGATCAAGGTAAAGTGTACTGCATTGAACCTTGTTTCTTGTTTAATTATTTTTCACCTGTCATACAACATATAATGTGAATTATTTGTTTGTTCAACTTGAGATATACGTAAAATTTTCACTAATTGAGTATAATGTGATGTATTTTTACTTGTTCACATCATTTGGGAGCATAGGGTATTTTTACTTTTTTCTTGCAATGTCATTTTAACTTTGGTTAAGCTATGCTTGTTTATTTTTAACCTTTAAGTCACATTGTTGATACATATGTGTAATGTGTTGTTTTATGAACTCTTGGTTAGAATATTGTAACTCTAAGTAATGAAATGAAGATTGAATAGTGAATTTCCTTTATTTAATTCTTATTCTTCTTGTATTTTGAAGAGAACAATGTGTTTCATTTTGATGTCTTCCAGGACCAGCGTGTACAGGCTAATCATGCATATATTTGGCCCTTTCTTTAGCTTTCTCAACTGGAACTCATCCTGCATCTTTTGAATTTGAAGCCTTTAGCAGAAGTTTTTTATTCCTTTATATTCTAAGTGGAATCCAATTCATAAAATAGTCTTTTTGAAGGCAGAATTTATTTCATTTGCTGACAGGTTTTCTTTGATGATCTGTCAGTTATTTTCTAGGTTTTTGAGTATTGTGTGGTTTTGGATGTTCTCAACAATCTTTTTATAACCATGTTACCGCAGGAACTTCCATTCAGTTATTTTCTGGTTACAGTGATTATGTAGAATTTGAAGTTAAGATAGTAATTAATTTTTTAAATTATGCAGCTGGAGTGAATGAGATGCAATATACTTCGGGAGATGCATCAAAGATGATGACTTACTCTCCTACAATTAATGGGATAGAGCTGCAGCCTTGTGTGTCTAATGTCAACCCAAATGGATTTCCTATTAGAAAGAACATTGCTGCAAAGGTATGCAGTTTTTACTCTTTTTTTTCGGGGGTGGGGAAATGCCTATGCATATCTTTACCATAGATAAGTGGTATTACTAAGACATGTCACTTAAGTTTTGCATAATGATTTCTAGACTAATTGGGTTTGACAGCTTGACAAGTGCAGGAAACTGATAAAATATGCCAAGAAATTATTGGACAATGGGACACCCTATTATGGAATTGAGGCATGTAATGAGGTCTTGAATGGCTATAGCCATATCATTGGGCCTGCACTGAAACATGAATGCTTCTGCACTCGTGCTGCACTGTTGATCAAGGTTATTATTATGTGTCCTTTTGTTTTCTTTTCAGTTTAGTTTTTTTATCATATTTGCTGGATTGGACACATATTGAGATTTTCCACTCTTATCCAGAGGGAGTGGAAAAATGACGCTCATATGGCTATAAGAGACTGCTATGCTGCTAGAAAAATTGATAATTCCTCCTATAAAGCACTTTACTACATGTCAGAAGCACTGTCACAGGTAATTTTGTTGTATAACTTGATTTTTGATTATGTGTTCACTTTATATTAATGGCTTATTCTGGTTTTTGAGAGTCGTACATATGATAAAATTATTAGAGTCATTTTTTTTGTTAGAAGAAACAAAATCCGTAAGAAGGGAACAAAGGGAATGTAATATGAAGAGAAAGGACTTCTTGAGCACATTTATTATGATTTTTATCTTCTGTAGAAAAATCTGTGTTTGGGTTGCATAGGAGGGCTAGAGTAGTGAGAATCGGACAGATAATTGGAGCAGAAGCAGTTGTTATTGATCAGTTATTATTACTGTCTTTAGGGTGGTTGGGGTGGGATCAGATAAACTTGAATATTGAAAGAGAGCTATTCAAGTTGGAAACATCTTAAAATCCATAGCATTCTCCTGCCAACCAGGATTGGAGGTGAGAAACAAGATAGTTCAATCTACAGTACTGAAATTTGCTGTAGATTAGGAAATGACAACTAAAGCACAAACGGACAAGGGGTCATAGAAACCTAAGGGTGGCAAATTGGATGAATATGATATTTTTATATTTTTGGATTATAATGGATCCAATAAAAAAATCCATTAGTCCATTTTGCTCTATGAGCAATTTAATTGAAGATCCGATCCCTTTAATAAAAATCCAACCCAACCCATCCATTAATATATACATATATATAAATAAATAAAATTATATTTTAAAAAATTGTAAAACAAATATTGAAACATATTTTTTAAAATTTTTAAAAAAAGTAAATTTAAGTAGTTTTGAACATGATTTCAATAAGTTTGATTAATAGAAAATTGCGATTTAGGGCATTTTTGACAAAACAGTTATCAGTACGTGTGATTTATGTTTTGACTTTTAGCTGGAGGGACTTGTGTATGGATCTTTTTGACTTCATGCCATTTGTCTGTGTCAAGTATGCCCTTTGATAGTAGAACGTTCAATCTGCCTATTTAGTTTTTAACCCATTATAATAATGTTATTTTGTTGCAGCTGGGTAAACATGAAGATGCTCTCAATTTTGCTGTTGCTGCCCATTCACTGGCCCCACTCAAATCTGAAGTGGCAGAAAGAGTGGAGAATGTGAAGAAGGATATTGCTTTAGGTATGAATAAGTTGTCTTTCTTGGCTGAATTTAGGTATGTTGATGAAATTTTAGGATTGCCCATGTTGTCTAAAGAAGTTTGTGACCCATTAACATGCTTTTCACTTTGCTTATGTAGACCAACGACATTAGAGAGTATTTAGTAGTTTTTCTATAACTGCTAAAATTGGATACGGAAAACTCTATTTCGAAACAATTGCTCTTTATGATTGGAAAGTTGTGTACTATCTTCTTTTACCATTTTATGTTGGATCTAACTGGTTTATTTAACAGCTGAAGCTGAAAAAAATAGCAAGACCAATGATGGGGCATCAAGGTTTGACAGTCAAGGTGGAAGAATATTATCATTAAGTGACATACTCTATCGTCCTGAGGCCAATGGTGATGTTCCTCAAGATGGTACTCGATCTGACAGAGATGATTCTGATTATGATGAGGAATTGGAGTTGGACTTCGAAACATCATTATCCGGTGATGAGGGACATGATCTTGATTCAAATATTCTTCATGGAAGTTTAAATCTTAGAATTCATCGGCGAGGTGACTCTAGAGACAATGCAGGTGCAAGTGGCCCATGCGAATCACCATCATCGTCACAGAATACTAGAACATGTTATCAGGTACATATCATCAAATTCAATTATTGTTGGTGATACCTCATCACTATGACCCAACAATTATTTCTCTCTTCGAATTTTACTTTCTGGCCTTTTGTAATGGCTTCATTTGATGTATATTTTCCTTCCTCTTTATTGGTTATGGTGTACAATCCTCTAATGTAATAGTTGTATTATGTGCAACAACACTCAGATTCCAAGTGCTTTAGAAGAAAATTACATTGTTTTTGCTTATAGGTTTTATTTGTTAGCTAGTTTGATTGCTTATCTCATCAGTGCCCTCAGTCTGTGGGATTGCAACTTAATGAACAATTGTTAAATTACTCACACGTTTAGGATAATTTTTTCTCTACTGTTACTATTGCAGCCTGAACCAGCTGTTGATATGAAACAGAGATTTATTGGCCACTGCAATATTGGGACTGACATAAAACAAGCAAATTTTCTTGGTCAAAGAGGTATGGTATCTCATATGTGATTTTCTAAATTGGAATTGTTTGTGCACAGTTAGATATACCAAACAAATTTAAAATATTATTTTCATCCCTTTCTCTTTTGGTTGCCTTATATTGTTTGTACTGGAGATGTATATACCATCATCATCAATTTGTTTTTATCATTTGAATATCAATTGTTGAGATTAGAAGAAAAAAATCTGTGTATGGATGCAGTGGAGGCTCTTTGAGGAAAAACGTAAAGAATCCCTAAATATCCTAACTACAAGTAACCGTTCTTCTGATGTTATAAGCATATAAGGGAAAATATATACTACGTAGTATTTATTGGCATGCAGGCGCTTTTTTATTATCTAAAAGAATTTCTTACTGTGATTAACTAGAACTGACAACAGTCACTATACAAGGGTTCCACCTCTCCAATAGAGACACTACTCTATTCCCCATAGAACACTTTCTCGACTAAATATCCCCCTTCAGCCCTCTTGAACTCCCTATTTATACAAAAGCAGGCAAACTAACTCTCTCCCTATCTTATTCTTATTCTTTATTCTTGGGTAATACCTCCCTCACTTTATTTTGTTGTTGAGACACGTCCCTAACATAAGTTTAGAGTTTTGGGTTGACAGTTAATCGAGCATACTTGCAAATTTGTTCAAGATAATCTGACATGTTTATGTGTAGGTGAATATGTTGCCAGTGGAAGTGATGATGGCAGATGGTTTATTTGGGAAAAGTGTACCGGTAGACTCATAAAAGTTCTAAATGGTGATGAATCTGGTAAACACTGTTTTCCTCAAGATTTTCAGATTGTTTTAGTTTTCTCTTGTTTGTTTGTCTGTAGCTTTGTTTTCTTCCTTATGCTACAGTTGTAAATTGCATACAATGTCATCCATTTGATTTTGTTGTCGCAACCAGTGGGATTGATAGCACAATAAAGGTGAGAATGATGACTCTATGATGCATAGTATCTTTTGATTTGAATAAAAACTTCAATCTTTCAAGATTTCTTTGGTTGCATTATTATAGATATGGACTCCAAGTGCTCCTGTTCCATCCTCTGTAGCCGGTGGTTCAGCAGGACCAGAAACTGGTGATGTGTTGGCTGCTATGGAGAGCAATCAACAAAAGTTATCCCGTAGCCGTACTATATTGTAAGAAATTTTCGACCCCTTTTTTTGAAATTGGGAATGGAATTATGCAGCTTGGTTATTATTGAGGTATTTTATAACAATGCCTTCAGCCTATGTAAAATTAATTGATGGTGGCAATGGACGGTAATGAGCATGGCTTGTATTTTAGTCTGTCATTCTTCTCTAAATGTTGTAGGTCGTACTCATCACCTCCAACTTTAGAGATTGCTAATTTGATAGCTGGTTCTTAATTTAAACCTAATATTATGAAATAGGCAGGCTGCACATCTTATCTTTGACAGTAAGCCCAGGTGATCAAGAGGGTTGGATTGAATGTCTCTCATTGTTCATGAAGTGGGCCTGATTTGTTGATCCATTATTATTTCTTTATTTCTGTGTTACATTGATGTGTTTAATTAAATTGGTCTTTCTCTTAGTGCTTGCAGAAGGAATAAACTATTTAGATATATTTTGGGTTGAGTGGTTTTGTTGTCTTGCAGGCCCTTTGAGCTTTTGGAACCATTTAGAATGCACGAGTTTCCTGAAGGGTCATTACGCTTGCGTCCATTTGAATGTGCTCAAAGCTAAAGGTTTGCCAATTTTCGTCAGCTGGTAAATCCTACTTTGTTCATTTCTCTTGCGTCTAAGTTACTGTTCAGATTCCTTTACAAGTCTCTGTATAGATAGATAAACTTCTCAATAAATACTCGAATTTATCTCCAAATGGGATCACAAGCAAGACTTTGATTTCTGAATAGAAGAGTCTCTGTTTTCGGAATTAGTGATGTTTCAAAATCAGTCCAGTGAGACCTATTGGTTGTGTGGTTTGAATGATTCAATTGATTAGCTTGATGGTTCAACTAAGGACAAACCAAACAACATAATGAAATACCAAAATCTGCAATTTCGGTATGATGTGTTCTTGAAGTTTCATTTCTGGTATATTGCTACTACTCATCTCATCTTCTTTTTTTTTTAAATGGTAGTGTTATTGCATCACTATGTTGTTTGTCAGCCCAACTATATTGGCATCGACAACATCAATCATATCTATTAAACTTTTCATATACCTTTGTCTTACAAGATACACTACTTGAATTTTTTTTAAATATATTAGTTTTTAGAAACTATGGATAAGCTTGCTAAGTTGGTGAAGCTTTCACATCTAGCTGATTTCATTTCATTTCAAGGTATTGTTCAGAGAGCATGTTTACTTCCTTTATGGCCAAACCTCCAAATGAGGTTTTTTATCCTTTCTAGGACAACTTCCTGCATCTTGGGACTTGTACTGGAAATATAAGTTAGTTTTAATCCTTTGTACCATTGTAGGGTGCTCTATTCGGTTGCGCGTATTAATCTGAACTGATTAGTGATGACATTGAGGGGGGGCATTATCGGTGGATACGAGCTTCGACTATATATGGTAAAGAAGACATTTTTCTGCAGCACAATATAATTTGGAACTTCGAAAATAAATCTTGGGTTTGATCCCGGATTTTCGGTTTTGGTCAACAGGTGTTATTGTCCTGTATTTATCTCCTGGAATGTTGATGATTCGGGGGGGGGGGAATCAGGAGTTGTAAAAATTGACTGATTCTCATGGTAGCTGGTTGGTACAATGTGTACAGGAAAAAGGTGGTCTCTGAATTTAAATATTACATTTTACTAGATTTAATCTCTGTATAGTAAATGACCAGGAGAACTCTTATGTTTTGAACGCACATATTATAATATTTCCTTCATTGTAAAATAAATGGCAAATAATTTTAGTAGTTGAGTAATTTTGTTGAACTATATTTGTTATTTATTCTCAATCCATGGTCAATAAAAAATAATCGAACTTTAATCGGAAAAATATTTATGAATAAATTGTTTTAAAATAATTTTTTTATAGAAGATATAATATATTTTATATTTTATTTTAATGATAATTTTTTTATATATATTTTATTTATAGTTTTTATTGTAATTTATGATAATTAGGTAGTAATTTTTATTATTTTATTTTTTCATAAAAATATTACTATTAATAAATTTATTATTTTATAAAAATATTATTTTATTAAATTCAGGTAGATTTATTTAAATTTTTAAATCTTAAAATCATTATTTTTAAAAAAGACATGGATGATTTAATTTAATTTTTCAAAATAGTTTGAGATATTATTTGAAAATAAATTAAAAAATATAATTTCTGATGACTTTCATAGCGAAAGACATAAAAGTCTTTAATGATTTATTAAATGATAATATAAAATTTAAAGTAAAAATTATATTTATTAAATTTATTTTTAAAATTATAAAATCTAAGTTACAAAAAATTAAAACTATTTTATAAAACATCTAACAAGATTTTTATTTTTAAAATTAAAATTTAAAACTTATTTTAAATGGTTTGTTTAATTTTAAAAAATATTTTTGAGAAAATTAAAATAAAATAGTACCTTTAAAATATTTTGTAAATTAAAAAAATATGATATTTATTGTAATAAAAAAATTGTAACACTTAGACTATGAATATAATAATTTGATGATGGTGAAATTAGATGTTACTTTTAAAAATAGATAATTAACGAAAATAAGAAAATTAAATAAAAAAATAATTATATTAATTTTGGTTTTTAAATTAAAAAATTAAACTTTGTATTTAACAAGTGTTTTATATTTTTCTAAAAACTAATTTTAAAACCAATAAACCGAACAAATCTTAATCATTTCATTCTTTACTTAACCACTCACTGCAGCGAAAAGCAACATATATTTTGGAGTACAAAGTCCTTTAGCGTTCTCTATATTTTGTTACATTCCTTAAGCAATTTATTCTTCAATTATTGTGAAAATAATTAATATTTTATAAAAATATCGTTCTTTGTATAATTAAATTTATTTTTTGTATAAAATAATTTTATTAGGACACTATCTAAGAAATGAAGATTTAATAAAGGATTTTTCTGAAACAATGTTCTTTCTAGATATTTTTAATTTCCTTCTCCCTTACTTTTATACATTTTTTGAAAAAAAAAAATTCAAATTCATTTCTCTCAATAATTAGAGAAAATTGTAAAAGTATTTTATGAGTTAAACATAAGAATTTTTGTTCCAAATAAACTCAATCTTAAAAATATTTTCACTGTCAAAATATTTCGTAGAATATACCTATGTATTGCGTAGTTCAGAATTTGATTTGCATCATTATTAATATTTTTCTAAACAAATATTTTAGAATTTTATTTCCTGAAAATTGAATTCTAAACTAAATTTTGATTTTTTTGTATTTACTTGTACGTACTTTAAAATTGAAAATAATTTTAATTATATAATAATATAATTAGGTAAAGTTATTATTAAATTTTAAAATATGTTATAAAATAATTAAAATATAATTTGTATTATATAGTAATTTTATATTATGATTATGAATTGAAAATTATTATAATATATATGGAGATAAAATACTTAAAATAAATAAGTAATTATATTATAATTTAAAAATGTATCAATAAAAGTATAAGTAATAATATATATACATTTTAATATTAATTTTAAACAGTATTAATACAAGGTTAATAATGTGAAAATCGTAATTGATTTAAATATTAAATGTTGACGTTAACGGTTTTAATATAGAGATTGTATCTTTTATGAGTAATAATAATTATTAGTAATCATTTAAAAGTTATCTTAACAGTAAATTAATAATAAAATTAAAAATTTTGAAAGGTTTGAATTAAAATATTAATTTTAAAAGAATGTATATATTTTTATGAATAATTTAAATTATATAATTTTTATTTAATCATATTATAATATATTAGTTAATTAAATTTAATATTTTTAAATTATTTTCAAATTTAAAATACATTATCTAAAAAAATTAAAGCATAATTCACAATCTGGATAAAAAGTTATATTTTAAACTAATTTTTCGATGGTATTGATAATTTTCATGATCATGATACAGATCTGTATTTTTCGTGATGTTTTGATAAATACTTTAATGAAGAGAAAAGAAAAATAGGATTGAGTTCATAAATAATGTAAACAAGATGATATTTTTTCTCGTATCCATACTTTTACTTGCATAATTTAATTTTTGGATAATAGTACATTGAGGATATATATATATATATATATATATATATATATATATATATATATATATATATATATATATATATATATATAATTACTTGACAATTAATATAATGATAAAAATGGATTGGGAATTCACTTTATTTAATTAATATATATATATATATATATATAATATAATATTAAACATTAATAATATTTTAATTATAATTATATAAACTAAAATAATAATATAATATTTTTATTTTAAAATAAAATAAATAAATAATATCTAACTAAAATGTATATTTTTAATAAAATAAAATAATATCAACTTATCTTGATTTTTAATTTTAGAATAAGATAATATATTATTAATAAATAATACGTATATCTTTAATTATCATTGAGATCATTAACCTCAACCCAAAAAAATCCATCACTTAATATTATTATTATTATTATATAATTGATCTGTGCCATGACATGTGAAAGATAGAGTGGCGAAGATATATTTTTTTTTACAAATTTTACTAGATCCGTAAATAATTCGAACAGCCTTTTTAATCCTTTAATTTGTTATTACTTTTCCATGAGAATTTGAGTTAGGGTTTTAAATCAACAAAGGAGAAGAATGAATGCTATATATGACATTATTTCTCCCATACCACTATATGTATCATCACAGTATGAACATATGACAACTTCTTAGATCTCAAGAGTATGAAACCATTGAGATTTATTATTATGCTATCATGAATTTCAAAGTTTATTTGAACATTATTTGGCGGCATTTTGACATGTTTCCATCGTGGTGGTGGGATTTCGTGGAACAAAAGTCAAAAGTTATTATCCCCATTTGAAAACTATTACCAATATTTAACGGATAGATTTGAAACGCGGCAATTAGGTCACAAGCATTATTCCAAAGACTGTGATAATCGTTTTTCTTTGCTCTTCCAAACACTCTGATATTCTTTCCAGAATTAAAATCTACTCCCTCTACGGGGCACTGTGTCAAAATGCCAGGCTGAATCAGTAGATGTTTTGCACCTAACTTTCTTGTATTCGATGGGTCACAATCATGGCTTCGATGCCTCACCATTCACTCCAGTTTTAATTTTCAAATATTCAAAAATACCAAGAGAAAATATAAAAGCAACACTAAAAAAATAATAAATAAATAAATAAAATAATTCCCAAAATTAATTTTAGAAATTAATTACTGCAATGTTAACTAGATTTGTAATTAATTTTTGAAATTAATTAATTTAATATCAATTAGATTAATACACTACAAGAAAATTATTAATTATGGATGAAAATTATTAATAAATATATATGTAAGTAAATATTTAAAATATATAAATATAAATATATTTATATATTTACATATATATTTACTTATATATAAATATAATTTATTTATAAGTTATTGTCCGAAAATTATAATAACTTAGTAGTTAAAAATTTAAAAATATTGGATTTAAATATTATTCTCCTATTTTAATAATAATGTAATAAATAATAAAAATATAATATAAAAAAGAAAAAAATCTCTAAATAAACATAAATAATAATTTAAAATTTAATAAAATATAATTATTGATGAATTTGTCAGTAATATTTATTTACAACCCAATTTTCGATAAATTTTTCTTGTTGATAATATTTATTTATTAACAAATTTTCTCAGTTATTAACGAAAAATTTAATTTTTTTTAGAATGATAATCCACTTACTTTTTTATTTATATATATATTTATTATTTTGTCTTAAATCAAATCGATATTAAGTTAAAATATGATATGTTAGAAGAGTTTTTTAATTTTATTTATTATAATAGATATTTTTTATTCAATAAAATATTAGAAAGAGACCTGTATCGTTTATTTTGATTATTCTTAATGGAATTATTTTTAAATATAATATTATATATTATTCTTTAGAATTTTAGTTCAGATTTAAGAGGAAGAAAGAAGGGGGAAAGTGAATGATTTAGGGTTTGATGATATTGATAAGTGCAAAGCGATTTTCAGCATCTCTCACTCTCAAAATCCATTACAAATAAAGAGACAATTGATGGTCAAAACCTACAAATAAAAGCAACCAACACATTCTCGTCCCACGTTTCAGAGTGTTGTTAAAGCCAAACACTACCGAATGCTGCATAAGCACGTCACTATTTCTCTTCCGTCGCTACTCTCTTTGTTTGTTGCACTTCTCCCACTGTTGCTAAAAATATAATAATTGGACCTTCCCAAACTCGCACTCACCGTCTCAACCCAACTTTATTTTAATTTCGCATTTCTGAAAAAAAAAAAATTATATTCTTCCGTTTATATTTAGAAATGTACTCTGTTGCTTGTGTTTCCAGATTGTGTAGTGTTTTCTTCTTAACAACACGTAGTTCTATCCCAATAAAAAAATTAAGTGGGGTGCTTAATTTATTAGTAATTTAAGAGTATTTTTATGTACACAAAAATTTTATAACAAAAATGTGTTAGAAGATAAGACAAAGAACTGTGTCTACTTTCTCTCAATATATTTTTATGATTAACTCAACCACCTAACATATCAACACAACCAAGAAAAATGAAAAGAAGTAACTAATTAACCTCTGAAAATATGAAAATATTAGGGTTAATTTTGAGATATAATCCATTTTAAAATTATTTTTAAAAGACAATTTGATTGATTAAGAGAAGAAATTATATATAAATTATTTTGATTTAATTTTTAAATGGTGTGAAATTTATTCATGCACCTAAATATATATTAAATTTTAATAAAAAAAAAAAAACAGAGTAACAATAATATCAGTATCTAATTGATGAAATAATAATTACAAAAATATGAAATAAATAGATTGTGAACCAATCATATATTTATCAATTAATCCATAGTCATTAAATAATTATTTGACCGTTAAGAAAAGTAACTAGGATAAAAAGATAATATTGATAAAATGAGTAATGTAATCCAAAATTGTATACAAATTTCTATAAAAATTTACATGATTTACATTATTTTAAATTTAATTCGTTTATATCATAGGGTCATAATTCTTTAGAAAAAGGAGTTGTATGCACAGCATAAATAATAATAGTAATAATAATAATAATAACTATATGAAGAATTATTGATGATGAGTTGAAATAGAGCCAAGCATATCATTGCTTTCACCGTGTATTTGATTTGATTTGCAATGAGTGAAATATGCGAAATGACGATCCAGATTATGAAAGAATAATTCTAAACATTTAACTTTTCACAAATCTTTTATTTATTTATTTATTAAATGAATAAAGTAAAATAGATTTTATATTTTCTAAATATTAGAAAAAATCATTTAATAACTGTTCCAATTTTTATGAAACTCAAGGTACAAGATAAGTCTGAAAGCTCGCCAATCAATGCCGTAAACCGAGCAAATTATACATTTAGAGTCAATTAATGCAAAATCTGTCTCATTTGTAGCTGTTTACTTCAACTAAGTATCTGACCAAGAATTCAGACGGATCTAATACTTATTTAAAAAAATATTAAAAGAATTAATAAGAGGATAATAAAATGATATCATAGACTAGTGGTTGCAAAACTGTATCGTGCACACCAGACCAAGTTAATTTTTTTGAACAACCGAAAAATTAAAAAGAGAGAACGTGGTTTCTTCCGTGTTTAGTTATGTATAATTAATCAATTATCGGACTCCGTCTTATTAAGATGTTTATGAGTGTATTTGTATATAATTTATATTATAATATTTAAGCATGTTCATTCACATAACTTCAATCTTGGGTGAAAGTATAGGCAATTTCCAAGAATGAAAATATAAAACACTTAAACTTTCACGAACCATCCTCCAACAATACAAACTCAAAACTCTAGTTTGGAATATGAGACATATTTCCGATCACTTTGTCCAATGTATCTAAAAAATGGCATCTGTATATGCTATTCTCTGCAAGCCAATTTGTAGCTTTTAGCACCCACTCATTCACCTTCCACCACTGGAATGCATGGATGATGCCAAAGCTTCTACTTTCATCTCAACCGCAAATGCTCCAACTACTCATGTCTTTCCTTCAAATTTTATGCATGAATTCAAAATAATATTTTCATTAAATAATTTTTAAAATATTTATAAAGAAGTTAACCAAAAATACCTAAAATATTTTCATTAAATTTTAAACTCAAACTCAAACTCTCTCCAAACCGAAGAATATAGGTTACATCGGAAAAGTATATCACCCTCCTCAAAATTCAATCCTAACTAATTATGGATATTAAATCAAACACATCTCATCAAATTTAATCATAATATAACTATAATGGAAATATAGAAATCATATTTTATTTATTCTAATTTACTGTCTCACTTCTTTTGATTTCATCTGGTAAAGAAATCCAAAATTCTTATTATTAGCTTCTTCTTCACTTCCAACTGAAAAAGAAAAACTAATTATTTGTAAGAAAAAGCGAAAACGAAATTTCAATATAATTTTGTGGATGGCCCTAGGTGTGCTTGTTGCACGACTTTGCATGCAGGAATGATTTAATTATTAGAAAGCACACAGCAACAGAGTACTTGAAGAGATAATAAAGAAAAAAAAAAAAAGTAAAAGCAGAAAAAAGAAAAAGAAAATAAGAAAAAGAAATTTGCGTCCATGTTTGGATTGCATTCACGTAATCCTAAAGCTGGGAATCACTTCCCACTTTAAAGTTGAAAACACCTTTCTTTCCAGTTATGGGTTTTGGCGCCCCATGTGTTTCCTTTCCCACCGCCACCTCTCTCTTCAACTTCTCTCTCACAGACTCTCTCTCCTTCCTCCCAACCCATTCCAATTCTCATCATCCTCATGGGATACCTCTCTTGCAATGCCCAATCCGCAATCGCCACCTGCGACCCTCACTTCAAGAAGCACAAACCCCTCGTTGTCAAACCAATCCGCCACTTTCACTACGCGGATCTCGCCGCCGCGGCTTCCGGTTTCTCCGCCGAGAGCTTCCTGGGCCGAGGCAGCCATGGCAGAGTGTACAAAGCCACCCTTGACGGCGGCAAGCTCCTCGCCGCCGTCAAAACCACGAAACTTGTTTCCTCTTCGAAGAACCACTCCATCAAATGCACCGGCTGCGGCAACTGCACTAGCCCCGCGGAAAACGAGATCGAGATCCTCTCTCAAGTTCCGAGCCAACGCGTCGTGAACCTCATCGGCTTCAGCACCGACCCAAACGGCAACAAATTGATCGTCGTTGAATACATGCCCAACGGTTCGCTCCACGATCTGTTACACACCGTTAAGAAACCGCCCGGTTGGAACCGGAGGGTCCGGTTCGCGGTTCAGGTTGCGAAAGCGGTTCTCGAATTGCACTCTTCCAACCCTCCCGTTATTCATCGCGACGTTAAGTCTTCCAATGTTTTAATTGACGAGAAATGGAATGCGAGGCTCGGTGACTTTGGCCTTGCGTTAAGGGGACACGTGGAGGACGTTCGTGTGAAGTGCACGCCGCCCGCGGGGACGTTAGGGTACCTCGACCCGTGCTATCTTGCACCGGAGGATCTCAGCTCCAAGAGCGATGTCTTCAGCTTTGGGATCTTGCTGCTGGAGATCATCAGCGGCCGGAACGCCATCGACGTCAATTACAGTCCTCCTTCGGTGGTGGACTGGGCGGTGCCACTGATCAAGCTCGGTGACTTCGCCGGAATCTGCGACCGCCGAATCGGACCCCCGCCGGACCCCGCCGTGGTGCGGCAGCTCGCTGTGCTGGCTGCCAGATGCGTGAGGTCGACGGCGGAGAAGCGGCCATCCATGACGGAGGTGGTGGAGTGTTTGAATCTGACGAGGAAGAGGATTCGTGCGTCCCCGGTGTGGATATCTCTGCGGCGGCGCGTGGCGCGTGTGGAGAGCGCCGTGCCTGTTGTGGCGTGGGAGGAGTGTGATGATAATAATAGTATTAATGATTGTGATAGGAGTGAGAAATTTGTGAGGATGGTGAAAGGTGGGAGTGTGAGTGGGAGCAGGAAGAAGGGGAAAGTATCTAGTGTGTGGGGTGTAGGGTATGGGAGTGAGGCCTCCAATAATAATAAAGTGACAAGGTCAAAGTCCATTGGTTCTGGTTCTGGTTCTGGTTCTGTGAGAGGGAGTTGGGTTAAAATGCAGCAGCCACACCAAAGCGAACATGGGTTTGGGAGAAGGAAGGTGAGGCTAAAAAAGTCAAAGTCTATGGGGGTTTTGCAAGGATCTGTACTTTCACATGGGGATTACTATAACAATATGCGTTATAATATTGATGATGTATTAGTAATTGGTTCTGCAATGGGCAAGTTGGTTGTTTCAGATAAGTTAGAAAAGAAAATGGTAGAAAAACCGTTAGTGAATTTGTATGATGAGGGTCGGAGCGTGAAGGAATGATTTGGATGGGATTGGATTGGTGGCAGCACATGTGGGAGTGGAATTGGGTTGGGATGCAAAGGAGAGAGGAAGGTAATGTTTCACCTGCCATGGCCGTGAGTGTGATATGATTGAGTTTGAAAACTAATTATTTGTGTCTGGAGAAGGGGAAGGACTAGGGAGGACCAATGTTTTTGCATTGGATGCTTCTGGTTCCAAGCTACCACACAGAGTAAGAGATCATTCAACCACATTTGTACTGTGATTTTGTGCCATTAATACTTCACCTCAAACGGAACTTTTCCTGTCCTAATCTTTTTTGTTCTAGACAAACCTGTCTTAATCCTTTAATATGTCATCTCTTTCTCTTCTTCTTTTAATATTTTAATACCATTAATTGCTGCACCAATAAATAGTTTGAAATTCAAAGATTACAGGGTTGTTTGTTTGTTTGTTTGTTAACCACTCTTTAGTTAAAAAAAAAAAAAATCGTTTGACAAAATTTTTAAAAAATATTCTTTTTTTTTAAACTATGAAATCAATATTTTCTTATTTTTATTTTTATTAATGATATCCAAGTCTGTATTAATAATTATATTATATTAGTTATTTTTTTTCATAATTTTTTATTCTTGTCAATATTATTCTGTTTCATCTAAAATATATTTTAATTAAAATTTAAATTTAAATTTAAATTTTTTAAAGTACTCATTAAAATTGTTATTATGACCTAAAAAATAAAAATAAAACTAAATCAAAGCATTTGAAGTGAAGAAATGTGAACTAAGTAGGAGGAAAGTGCGGAGGTTGTAAGTAAATCCTAATAGATGGAGTTAAGAGGTTGGTTTTACATTATATGTAGTTGTGAAATTAATGAATGATAAAGATCCATCAGGGGAGGGAGCATTAAACTTAAACTTCCTGGCAAACAAAAATGTGTTATGTTAGTAGTCGAAATGAACTACCTACTTCTTTTATCCAAAAACAATAATCTTTTAAGAATTTTAGTCTAAATATAATATTTCTTCCATTTCAACGTTTTATGTTTTTAAAGAAACAACATAGATTGGTTGTTTTAGAATCCCTAATATTATATTTGTACAAAAATAATTATACTATTAGATTAATTAAGTTTAATTCCAGTGGAGTTTTAATAACTTTGATTTTTAAAAGAAATTTGAAGTGGAGTGTTCTGTTTTTCTTTTTGTGAACTAGACGAATGGTCAATTTAGCAAAAAATAAAATAAAAATCGTTGTCATATAAAATTCTAAAACTAAAAAACATTCAAATAATTTTATAAACTATCTTAAGAATTTTATATAACATCTTAAATTTTTTTTTCTTAAACATATACTTTATTCTGGTTATTATCATTTAAGCCCTTGGACTAGGAATTAAAATAAAAAATAGTAATAAAATTAAAGAATTTAAATGAATCCCTGAAAAAGTTCAGAAACTTGTTTAAAATTGTCTGAGTTTTATAGACTAATGTGACAACAAAATATAATTTCAGGAGAACAAATTAATCATTCACTAAACTCATTTCACAAAAAGTATAAATGAAGAGTTATAAAAAAATTGCAAACAATAACTGAGTATAAATTTATCTTGATTTATATTACGTATATTTTTAATTTGTATGGAACTTTTAATTAATCAAAGTTTTGAAATGAAAGGGGTGTTAAATAAGATTTTATAAATAAACTATATGTCAAATTCTATCAGTTTCATTTTTATAAATGAGTCTTTATAATTATGTGAATGATGAGAGTGTAAACTAAATTATACTACTAAATAAGCTATAATGAGTTTTATAAATGGTATAGTGTTTCTTAATTAAAAAGCGTAATAACTGTTTTATTTTAACTGAACTTCAACATTTGTCGAATTGATCGTATTTAATGATCAAATATTATATCTTTTGGACAAAAATTAATGTCATGAGCCAAGGAAGATAGATATCGTAGATTATAGAATATAAGACATTAATATTTTCTTATTTGTATAAAATAAAGTTTCTGCACATGTGTTTTATGCTAAATCTTACTATTTCTTAAAATATTTTGGAAATTGTATTGAAATTATCTTAGACGTGGCTGGTAGCCGTCAGAGATTTTCCTTTTTGAAGATTTTCCATTAATTTGAATCAGAAACTTCAACGTTGTCCTTGAAAGTTGAATGTCAGTGAGAATAATTCATTATTCAAAAATGTGGTTTGACTCACTAAAATAAATATGAAGAATAATTTCATGTATCTTCCAATCTTAAAATTAAGTTGTGTCATTTTACTAGCTCTACACAACACTTGATATTTGTGTCTTTGTGTGCGTAATATTCTGTTTGAAAACACTTGTCTATTATTATTATAATTACTATTATTATTAGCTTTAAGATAAAGCTTTAAGTGTCTCATTGTTTATTTATTTATTTAAATTTAAAGTATTTTTATTAACAATTTTTTCAATTTAATGCTTTAGCAACCATCCCATTGCTAGAGCCTGTGAAAAAGCCTCTTCATACGGTTAAATTAAATTAGTGAACCTGTAAAAAAAATACACAAAATTATTTTATTTTATGATGTTTTATATGTTAACTTTGATCAATTTTGTGAATAAATTTGTAAACAAAAAAAAATTCGTATAATAATGTTTCTTAAATTTCATTGGTAAATATTCAAAGTGAACCTACATCAATTATGTGGGCAAGATTTATCAATTCTGGGCTAAGAGGAGTAACTCGGTTCGGCCATATTATTCTGGGTTCCAATTTTGAAAATGATCTGTTAAACTCAGGACAAAAAAAAAGGACATTTTCTTCCTCTACTTTCATAATTTATTTCTACATCTTCGTAATTAAATTAAATTTTTATTTTATTTTTATACCTAATTTTATTTTCGTAATTGTTTATTTCTAATTTTTAAGTCTTTGAATATCTAATTTTTAAATTCTATTAAAATGTTTCCATTCTTTCTTGTGAATTGTAATAGATATGTAAGAATCTCCAACTATTTTTAATTTGTATCAATTTTGTTATTACATATAGCGTTCGTGCAACAAGATTTTTTTGACTGAAATACATGTTTGGGATTGGGAACATAATTCTGAAAACAAGATTTCTGAAGATTGGAAAAACATAGTTTTGAATGGAGATGATAATAAAAGAAACTAAATCTGCAAATCTATGGAGATGCAGAACTTTCCCAGGAATATAAAAGATGGTAGGATTTTAAAAAAATTATTGAAAGAATATTTTAATTATTTTACTTAAATATGGAGATGCAAGAACAAATTATGAAGACGAAGTAAGAAAGTACCAAAAAAAGAAGAAGAAGCAATAACTCTTCTCACTTCTTACGACTACAATTGGGTTGATCTTGAAGGCCTAAACATAACCATAAAGGCTTTTGATTCCTGTACCTCATGATTTCCATTTGCACCCCCATTTCAAAAAGACCGTAATGCCCCTATGAGTTTTATTTGATTTTCCTCCGTTCCTTCTCCATTGTTGGTTGCTGTAGGTATGCTTGTGAACTACATGGTTATTTCAGTAATAATTTTTTTTTATGTATTATTATTAAAAATAAACATTAATTTGGGTAATCAAATTCAATCCAAATCTTAAACCATTCAATCACATAAAATATTAAAATCTTAACCATCAGTATTCTAATTGTTAAAAATAATTAATTAACTCTAGAAATAAATTACAAAATGCTTGCAAGTAGCGTTGTTAAAATTTATGAATAATACTCAATCCTGAATCTAATTTTAACAACAAATATTTATCAAACTCATAGCTGCTGGAAAAAGGAAGATTTGGCTGTTGCATTTATCTACAGTTTTGTCAACGTCCATCTCCCGTTATTTATTTTATTTTAAAATTCAAATACACCATTTTTATAAATGTTATTTTGTAAGAAAAATCAAAATTACATCTCAGTAATCATTGTTATTTTTTATCAAGATAGAAGTCACAGTCATGAATTTAATTTCAATTTTAAAAAATAAATAACAAAACGTCTCTAAATTTTATACATCCTTTATACTGTGAAAAACATTGAATTGAAATAAAATAAAATAAAAATGGAAATGGAAGTGAAAAAGGCCAACAAAACGTTCCTTTTGTCCTGTCAACTAGTGGACCACTGTTTACTTTTCGTCACCTTAATACATCATAAAGTAGGAAAGAATCAGAGCAGTAACGATAGATTCGATAAATTACGAATTAATTATATAACAAAATTTTATTATTTACATTTTTTCTTTTCAAATTTAAGTGTGACTTATTATATCAAAATAAGAAACTTAAATTTCAAGATTTTAAATTAAAGAAAATAAAATATTTTTTTAATAGATTTATAATTCTTTTCTTGTATTATCTGCCGAAAATATTGTTTTAATAACCAGTTTAATAAAATACGTATTTTTAAATTATATATTCCTATATTGAAAGGTTTTTTACATGTGATAAATTATTATAATTATAAAGGTAAGTATAAAGGATCACTGACCTCATTAAAAAGAAAAAAAAATGCAAGATTCTAGCATTAAGAAACAAAAGACATTTGATTTTGATAGGTTTTGTGAATGTACCCTTTTTTATTTTAGAAAAAAAGTGACAGTGGTGGTTGTGTGGGAGCAATTTTTTCAAAATCGGATTAATCACACAAAGTTATAGAATTTAATTAAATTTTAATTTAATTTAATTAAATAATATTTTTACAATGTAATAAGTATATAATAAATTCGTATTAATTAATAATTTTAGATCAAATAATATATTATTTGTAAAAATATTTAATAATAATTAAACTTAAAAAGTCAAAATTATAAATATAAATAAAATTTAAAAATTTAAAAGGGGTCATCACCCTCTCTCCACTCTCAAAGCACCTCCAGTGTTTGTAACATGTTTTTTTGTTCAAATAATAAAAATACTCTAATAATTAATATAAAATATATATATATTATTTTTTATAAAAAATAATATCACAAAATGTTGTATTTTTTTTTATTAAAA